ACAATTGGCTGCCATGTTTCACCCACAAAATATACAGTCATTCACTTTACAGTATATTCTGTGAAGTGCTTTGAAAAGTCTCAAACAGGTGATAAGGCACTATATCAAATGCAATAATTATTTTATTATTATTATTCAACTCAGAGTGTTGCATAAAAATCTTTCTCCATGCTGGCTCCCAGTTAAATGAATACAACTTGATACAATTGCTACTGGATGCAGGTCTTAACACAAAACCGAGCTTCATTTGGCACTGGTTAGAACCTTGATTTAAATAAAGTAGTGCTTGAACCTAAGTGAGAGAAGTGAGAAAGTGTTCCAGCTTGAAGAATATCCCTAATGCAGCCGATTATCCTCCTTGGGGATAGTTTTGCAAGATTTCCTTGGAGCTGAGTTGGCTTCATACAACAACAAGATTGCATTTATAGAGCACCTTTCACGTCGGGAGGACGTCCCAAGGCGCTGGACAGTTGGGTCGGGACCCGAGCAAGGGGGAAATGGTCAGGGTGAGGGGAGGGAGCGAGGAGGGGGTAGAGAGTCGAGAGGGGAGCTGAAGGCACAGTCAAAGAGAAAGGTCTTGAGACCCGCCTTGAAGGAGGAAAGGGAGGAGGCGGCGAAGGCACTGGGGGATAGTGCCTTCTAGACCGGAGCCAAAGGAACGGAGGGTACCGGCAGGTAAGTAGGGGGATAGTAGGTTGGAGGGACTAAGGCCGTGAATGGCCTTGTAGGTGAGGATGAGGATCTTGAGTTCGATCCTCTGGGGGATGGGGAGCCAGTGGAGGCGAGCGAGGGTGGGAGTGATGTGGTCGTGAAGCCTGGTGCGGGACAGTACACGAGCTGCAGAGTTCTGAATGACCTGCAGCGTGTGGAGGGAGGTGCCGGGAAGGCCGGCGAGGAGAGAGTTCCCATCGTCCAGCCTTGAGGTGATAAAGGCGTGGACCAGTGTTTCAGCAGCGTGAGGGGTGAGGTAATGGCGTAGTCTGGCGATCTTCCGGAGGTGATGGAAGGCGGTGCCAGTTGTGGCGCAGATGTGGGGAAGAAAGGACAGCTCAGGGTCGAACAAAACACCGAGGTTCCTGAGCGGCTTTGAGAGGTGGAGAGTGCAGCCTTGGATGCTGATGCTGTCAGTGCCTGAGGTGCGGAGGCTCTGACGTGAGCCAATCAGGAGGGCCTCAGTTTTGCGGACGTTGAGCTGATGAAAGTTGTCTCTCGTCCAGCACTCGATGTCAGACAGGCGGCTGTCAGGACATCGGTGGTCGTGGAGTTGAGGGTAGAGTAGGAAAGGTAGAGTTGGGGAGGAAAGGTAGAGTTGGTAGTGATGTGCTTGGCAACAGAATGTCACAATTGAGTCAATCCTCGTTGGCAGTCTTGGCAGTCCAGTTCCTGAGTCAGGCAGGACCACAGTACTGATAGCCCAGCCATCGACAGGATTCAGAGGGGCAGACCCGCTACCTTAGAACACAGATTTTTCCTCCTCGGCTCCTGTTAACCATGCAAGCTAAAGCCCTAACAGGTAGCAGGGTCCTAGCTGGACAAGCATAAGACTTAATGCCAAGCTGAGCATTTTTACTGGTTATTAAACTCTAGCAGTATCCCAATGAATACAATGGGGACCGCAAGCCAAAGCTCATCAACCCGTACTTTCTTTGGAATTAGGTAAGCAGAGTGCATCTCTCGGGAAATATTGTATATTCCATTTAAGACATACTGAAATATCCATGTGTAAGTGGCATGCATATGTGGAATTCTGTCTGGTTTGAACACTCTTAAGCACAGTGATAGGTTTCCAAATGTGTCAGACATCCCACTGACCAAAAAAGTCACAGAGAAACAGGAGTAAAATACCCTCATTACCCCTGGTCATTTGTGTGTCACGGGACCACCTAAGATCAGTCACATTCTCAGTGGGCAAATAAATACAAATAAATCATTCAGTGATAAGCAGAGATGAGACGGGGCATTGGACAGAGCAGTTGAGTAAAAGTTGGCATTCATCCATGGCCTGACAACTTTGCAAAAAAAAGTATTGGATACATTCTTCAAAGTAAATACAGCATGAAGTTGGACACTACTAACAGACTAAATCTAAAAAAAGTAAATAATTAACAATAAATTAGCTGTAAGGAGATTGTTATATTGAGATATTCATAACCATAGATGAAGTTATGCAAAATTGCGCAACATTGGTGCAGTGAGCAGTAATACACAAATCCACACATTGTTCCAACCTTGATTCCTGTTCAATGTGTCAAGTTCCTGATCTTAGTGCAAGGAGATGTCAAGCGGAGGTCAGAGAAAGGAAATTAGATATCAAGTCATTCTAAGCCTTCTCTTGCACACCCTAGTGGTCAGTGGAGAGCATCTCGGAGTTCTATCATGTACTGATCACTAAAATAGTGATCTTTTCTTTTATTTGTTCACATTCAGATATCCCGTTGTGAACAAGTCATGGAATAATGGTTAAGTAAAGGATATAACTGTTTAACCTATCTTTCACTTTTAACTTCACTTCTGAACAAGCACACCAATGTTGTCCAATGTTGGATTTATGGGCTCCCTTCTTCAAAAGACTGGTTAGTCATTTTGCCATGACATGCGCTCTACCTTCCCCCACCTCCACAACACCGCCCGGCTCCACCACTGCCTCACCCCTCAGGCCGCCGAAACCCTCATACACGCATTCATCACATCCAGGCTCAACTACGCCAATTCCCTGCTTGTCGGCCTTCCCAGTTCTTCCCTCCACAAGCTGCAGATCATCAAGAACTCTGCAGCTCGGGTCCTCTCCCACACCAGTCTCCATGACCCCATCACCCCCATCCTCACCTGGTTCTACTGGCTCCCCATTCCCCAGAGGATAGAGTTTGAAATCCTCATCCTCGCTTCAAGATCCTCCACAGCCTTGCCCCTCCCTACCTCTGTAACCTGCTGACCCCATATCAACCTCTGCTCAGCAAGCTGTGGCTTGTCCCCCGTCTGGCCCGCCACACCAACGGCATTCGGGCCTTCAGCCTTTCTGCCCCCACCCTATGGAACTCCATCCCACATTCCTTTCTCCTCGCTCCCTCCCTTGACTCCTTCAAGACATGTCTCAAAACCTTCCTCTTCAACCGAGCCTTCGGCCACCCTCCTACCCTCTCTGCCCTCCACCCTCCTTGATCCTAACCCACAGTTTGGGTCCAAATCCATTACAGTCCAGCACCTTGGGACGTCTCCTGACATGAAAGGCGTTATACAAATGTAATTTTGCATTGTTAATACCTCTGTATTCATCCTATCACCCTCAGTTGTGAGGTCTGCCTATGATCACTAATCCATTTCTGCTATAATTGAAAACATTCTGCTTATTACATCCTCGATTCAGTGCTCAACCTAAGTATATTCAAACTCAGGCAAGAGGAGGACAAGGCGAGGTTCAGATTCAAGCCCAAAATCTTTTAGCATGCAATTGCAGTATTCCACCACTAGAGGAAGCTGCTTTCTATCCCCCCTCCCTGTTCAAGACTTCTTTACCAATGCAACTCTCTCTCATCAGCCAAACTGAAGACTGAAGTCAAAGGTAGCAAGTTAATCCATTTCATGTTTTTTCCCTGCTGTTCTATCAAAGCTTTACAGCACTAACCATCTGGTTGACATCACAATAAATTTGAAATTTACAAAACCAGGTGTCAGATTGGAGTGTCAACCAGCCTTAGACTAATAATAATAATAATCCTTGAATTTGATATAGCGCTTTTCACGTCGGGAGGGCGTCCCAAAGCGCTTCACAGAACACACTATAAAGTGAATTGACTGTATATTTGTGGGCGAACGCGGCAGCCAATTGGGCACAGCAATGTCCCACAAACAGTCGTAGATTGAAAATGACCAATTTTGTTATTATTTTTGGAGGGATTATTATTAGACTACATCTTATGGACATAGATATAGTAAAATGATTGCCTTAACTTCCAATATTATATTGCTATTATGTTGCTGTATGAAGCTAACAATACTTAGATCAGCATTTTGTGCGCACAGAGAACACAAAATATTGCATTGCTCAACCCTTACAGAGGCTATTTCAACAAAATAATCTCAAACCAGGTAACAAAGAAAGATAAGACCTCTCAACCTACAGAGTGTTGTGTTATTTAGAGCACAGTATACCTACTTACATTTTGTCTCCTTCCTTAATGGCAAATTTATGTCTCTACACCAAGCACCATTCCACTAGCTGGAAACCTACCCCATAAATTAATTTAAGCATAGAATAGTTACTTCTTATATTCTGGTAAAGATTTTTTTAGTTTGAGATTATTTTAGCTTGAAATTAATGTCTCTTTTCCTTTAAGTAGAATCAGTATTTTTACACTTCCAGTCGCCATGTTTTTGTTTAAAGAAATTTCAAACTTGAGTTATACCTCCTTTTAAAAAATTTTACACTAAGAACAAATTTAGCTGACTCGTTTTCTCCTCATAGTTATTGATTTGAGACTTGAACAACAAAATGCAGTAAGAGCAGTTTTTACATAAACCCGGTGAACTAGTGAGGGTTAACCCCCTTTCTCTATGAATCACACCAGTCAATTTGCACTTAAAAGACAAAAAACCTCAAACACTCTTGGGAAGAACAGATCTGGTGCACTTTGGCTCTGGCACAAAAGGAGTGCAGAAATAGAATTGCATTCAGATGCATTTCTACACTTGGAGATATTACTTGGAGACGACAATTTGTCTGTGACACCATATTCGCTGCTGGCTATTTTGAAAAGACAAACTGTCCATAGCTTGGGAGGTAAGAAAAAAATACCAAGCTGCTTGCTGTGTGCCCACTCGAAATTGTACGGACCTGCCATTGTTAGATTCTCCTTTTCTAACACAGCGATTCCATTAGCAGCATCCATGGGGTAATTATGAGAAGCATTCTCCTTGAAGGCAAGATCAAAGGAATCTATGTAAACCTAGATTATCAATATTACAGTCAGAGTGAGAAAACATCAAAACATGACTTTCCTTACCTTCAGAACAGCAATGAATGGCACAAAGTTAGCCCTCTGAAGCCCATTTTTATAGAGGTCTGAAAGAGAAAATTGGTATCAGCTTTGCTACTTAGCTTGATAATAGTGTCTCTTCTTTTCCTCTGGCAAATACACCTTCCAACAATAGCAGATAATAGCAAGCACCAAAGACACAAAATTGATTCCTATTCTTGCAATACATCGGGTTTGTTAAATTGGCTGGTGATGCTAATGAAGGAAAATTGGGACCAGCATCAAAAAAGATCTGTAGAGACTTTCTGTGGCAAAAGAACTGCAGTGGGGGTTGCCAACATGTAACTATCATTTAAAAATAAAAATTTAAATGTATTGTTTTACTAACAGCACTGCCACTATACACACATTGGTCTAAATGCAATCATATTTTTTTAAAAAACAAGAAACAGATTAAAGATATTTTTAAAAAACAATTTGAGCTAATGCACTGCTAAAGCAAAACATGGATGAATGGTGTTTGCACACCTGCCTCTTCAGCTTTTCTGAGTGCAGAATCTCTTTTATAGCTTATTGCTAACAACCAGGCTTTCAACTACAAACATGACCAGTATCTTATTTGAATGAAGTGTGGTAACTCTGCTGTAAACAAAGAGGTGCAGAAACGTGGTGGATTTTTGTGGAAAAACTTCAGAATATAGTAATGCCGCCTACTTGGTTAAAACATTTAATCTTCTAGTATTTTAATGACATGAATCATAATTTTTCCAGTTGTTAAGACTGAATGATCAACAATATAAATCTGATGCTCCAAAGTATAGGTTTAGGATAGGTTAAGAAAACGAGCAGCATCATTCAAAAGTCCTTCAAACTGAACTCAGGATTTAACTTTCATTGAAACTACAGCCAAGCTTTGCACAACCAGAGACCAAGATTGTAAAATCTAAATCCAACTGTCTCTATTCTCAATTATATATGATTTCCAAACAACTGTTGAACAGGGCATGAAACAACTGTGTGACTTCACCTGTGCTAACAAGCATGATATAAAATGGCTGTAAGAATTATAATTACGTCCTGGGAGGACGTCCCAAACACTTCACAGGACATACATACAGAAAGTTTAGTGACTGTGTGTTTTGTGGACAAATGCAACAACCAATTTGGGCACAGATAGCTATAAAGTGAATGACCAATTTTATTTTGGGGTTTGTTGACCTGGAAACCAGAAGAATACTCCCTTCTCTTTCTGAATAGTGCCATGGGATCTTTAACGTCTACCTGAACAGGCAGACGGGACCTTAGTTTAACATCTCATCCGAAGGACGTCTATAAGTTCTTATAACGAAGTTTCTTAGTATAATAAACTGCTCCTTATGTCTTTTATAGAATAGTTTATCTAATTGAACCCAACTAATGGTATTGTTTGAAGAGCTCAAGCTTGCCAATTTAGAACATTTGTCATCTCTAAAATCTATATCAAGGTTAGATTCTGGACAATATCATATGGACACTGTTTCTCACTCAACGAATTGCGCTGGTAGGATTACTATACAAAAAGTGACAATAGGAAAAGTATGTCATGATTTTGCAATAAATTTAGTGTCATTTTACAACAAGGACAATAAAGTCATGCTAAATGTAATGTTGCATGTTGGTGCAGTCTCCTAAAGTGGAAGAATACAGGCTTGTGCCTGCAGTTATTACAAGTAGAGCTCCTTAGCTCAGCCATTCTACCAAGAGGTAGGTGCCAGGTGAGTAAAGTAGGTTGTGATTAGGAGAGTAAATCCAAACCCTGTTCCCTTTTTTGTGGAGTACAAAGCAAAATTAGCATGGGTTTGGGGGGGGGGGGGGGAATTTAAGCCCCTTATTCTTTTGACCCCGAAGCTGCTATGGGGTATAGCAAGGGACCATCTCAAGGTTTTTTTTAAAACTTGAAAAAAGTAATCTTATACTTATTTAGCCAGTTAGGTAAATTGCAATAAAAACAAAAGTTCTGATTCAAATCTTAATTTGACTCAAATCTCTGATTCAGTCTTAAAACCAGGCTGGACAAGACAACAGATACAAATCTCTCTGAGACACCAATTTATTGGGATTCAGGACAACATTATTTTGTTGGAGGAGGTGAGTGAAACAGAAATACATGAATTAATTTTGTTCATCACAGTACACATACTGTGTACACAGTTGTTGTTCAGTTCCTTTATCTACACATACTTATTGAGCAGAAAAACAAGTACTTTATTCTTAGGTGCCGAACAATATTGATCCTGAGCAGCTCTCCTGATTTTCCCTGCTCACTGTGAAGAGGTCCTCTGCTTGTCGGAGACTGCTAAAATTCTAACACCCTTCGTCGTTGAACTGAGCATTAGTGCTCCAACCTACTGTATCACCACACTATCGTTGATATAAATTACTTTCCGTGTTTGCCTTCAGTATAACATCCACTTTGTATGCCAAGGGTGCCAAATGAATCCAAGTTGTTAGTGTTGTGAAAGATGACAATTTTTCTAAAATTAGTTACGCCTTACCTTCAGGTGACCTGTTGGAGGTAGCCACGACTATAACACCATTTTGAAATAGATTTTCAAAAAGCTGCTTCAGTATCATGGCATCAGCAATATCAGTAACCTTAATAAACAGAATAAAAATCAAAACCCAATTCAACCTAAATTGAATTTAGAAACAATATAGCTTGTGTAGTTGAAGTAAAAAACCTAGATATCAAAGAAAATCAATCTAATCATCATTACAAGGAAATGGGATAACCCATCAGGGCAAATTATAGTGCAATACGGTCTTCCATCCACACTACCTCTTCATTACTGAACCAGTTATTTTCTGAAGGATGCTCAAGTGACTCAGTTTGGAAAAGTACATAGCTATTTGGAAGGGGCAATTAATTTGAAAGACTAGAAACCAGCACAAGGTTTACATTTCTACCCCTTTTTTTTTAACCGGAGGGATTCTTTCAGGTGCCTAAAGATGGACCAAAACTCTTGTTATCGCAATAAAAAAAGTGATCAGTATACTAGAAATTTACAAACTTGGACTTTAGTGATTTAACAACAGAAGGGTAAATATTTGGGCATAAATGATTTATGAAAAACAAGAGTGAAAGAATAACGACAGGGTTATACCACTCCTGAGTGCTCAGACAAACGATTTACGTTGGTCTAAAGACTAATTCTGTAGAATCAATCGCCTGGAAGCACTGTATAGATTAATAAATCCCATTGTTATAACTTATTCACTGCACTTCTTTCCTAAAGGATTTCACTGTCTGGACAAGGAAGCCTTATGGAAAGGTTTTTTTAAAGTTTCTTCATAGCAAGTTCTTTTCTGATATCTACTTGTGTTGTACAGGATTTCTAATTCCAACAGCAACATAGGCACCCTTCACGCCAGCCAGCTTCTCGGAGAGCTTAAACAAATTCTAAATGATGGTGTCTGTTGTTACTTCTTCTGACAATGATCATGCATCTTAATGTCATGACTGTTTTTTTTTAATAATACACAAGTGCCTGATTAAGAAAAAAAGTATTAAAAAAAACTAAGTGCCTTTCAAGCAAACAAACCCTGATTATCACTTTCCTGCAGAATTCACAACAGAGACTAGTCATACATTTTATTAGACGTCTCAATGCCGGGATAAGGCGCTGTAACAAATGCAAGGATTATTATTATTATTATAACAACTAAATATTGCTTTAACATTTTATTGTAAAACTAGCCTATTTGGCAGCATTTGGGAATGTGGGTCTTGATGTTTAACATCAACAACTAAACAGTTTTTGAATAACAACCAATTGCTGAGGCAAGAGTCACATTGTACGTGAGTGCCAGTTTATGAATCCTTTGATCTTGTACCCTTACTTATACAGCTCAAGAAGAGAAGTGCAATTGTACAGTCTAAGCAAGCAAAAGACAATACCAGAAGCATTTTCCCAACTGCAGCTCTTTCAGTACACAGTATTCATTACAAATAAGCAGAAAAGGAAGACTACAAATTACAGTTAATGCTGGTCTGCTAATAAGGAGAATAGAGACATTTCATTAGCATTTAAGAGAAAAGATTTTTATGACCTACAGTTGCTTCCATTATGACTCACTTAGCAAAAGAGGGGGAAAAAAGCCGAATACTAAAATTTACATGCGTAAGTGCTTGAGACTCAGTCATCCTTGATTGGTGTAGCTCTTTGTAATGCATGCTAAACATGAACATGTGTTTTCAGTAATTAGTATCAGCATGAAAGCAAGGGCTCGCTTTTACTGGAGACTTTGAAAGCACTGTACTCTTTACAAAAAGAACCTTCTTGAAAGTTTTGAAAGAGTTTAAAGTTGGTTGCTATCTGACAGATATCAGATACCTTTGCCTGTTAAGCATTAATTAATAATTACCTTCTTTTATATAAAAAATAGGTCTGGTGATAGTGAAATAAGATCAAAAGCTCATGCAGTCATTAGCAAAGCTTTGCAGTAGTGTGGTTTACTGTAAATGTTCTTTCAAAGCATCAAACAGAGCTGGATTAAGGAATGGTGTTTGCTTTGTATTTTCTGAATTCACTGTTATCATTCTACAGCATCCAGAATTACAGTGAATAATCTGTATAATGCTAAAGGCATACATGAGAATGCCTTTCCAATATAATGCTAATTATGAAGTAAAGTAAAAAAATCGACAACTAAATAGTTGTTTTACATAGATTTTGAATAAATGAAATAAGAATTCCTTTTTAAAAATGGTGCTAAAATACTGTTGCAGGGATTAAGAGGATCCCCACCTATTACACCAATTATCGCTATCTACAGCGACTGTAGTTGTTGTGAAATCGACACCATACTGTAACTATTCTTTCCCATCCAAAGATATTTCTGGCACCAAACCAACAGTGTTACAACAATATTATGAGAAAAATATATAGAAGAGGAGTGTACATCTTTTCACAGAATAAACTGGAACACCTCAAGTTTCCTTTGAGAATTTTTTTTAACCAATCGATTTTTCAACAAAATTTTTCAACGAACTTGCATTTGATATAACTTTCTCAACAAAAAAAAACTCTATCTTCTAGGTTTTTTTTTCAGTTTCCAGTTATACGCACATTGCAATCCCGCTGATTGATGTGCAAATCCTGCAGTCACAGGCAACCTCTGAGCCTCATGACAGTGGTCAGATAACCTCAGCACAGCAGTGTACAAATATGATGTGTTTCATGATGCATTCTTTGAACTTAAGTTATTGGTGTCGGAATCGCTCATATTTATTGCTAGTGACGCAAGAATGAAGGATCTGTTTGGAGTTCTGCTATGGAAAATGTTGTGGTGCTCTCTGATTATGTTTTAAGAGCTTTTAGATGTCCTCTCAATGTCCAAGACCAATATAAATGTAAATTATACTGTATTGTTCAATATGGGCAGAAAACACAAATCAACGACTGATTTTTTACTAATTTTCACCAAATTTACTCGCTGAGTCCTGTAGCTCAGTGGCTGGAGCACTCGCCTCGCAAGAGACCTGGATTTGATTCCGGACAGGGCAAAACGTTGGGCAAGTTTCCTTACTCCACATGCCTCTGTTTACCGAGCAGTAAGTAGGAACCCAGTTGTTAGTCGGTTGGCAGATTGCTTTTCCGGAGGTAATAATTCCTTCAGTAAAAATAAAAATAATAAATCGTTTACTTTAATCCACAACTGTTTGTGGAACACTGTTGTGCGCAACTGGTTGCCATGTTTCGCCCACAAAATATACAGTCTATAGTATATTCTGATAAGCTCTTTTAGACGACTTGGAGACGTGATAAGACGCTATATCAAATGCAAGGATTTTTTTATTATAAATTTAGAAACAATAATCTCAGGACCAATATTTACAAAAATATCAGTCAATATCAGTTGATTAACAAGCAGGTTCATTGAATTTAAAATAAGTCTATTTACCTGAAACTCATCAAAACACAACAAGCAGACCTCCTCACTGATTTCTGCAGCTATAGGGGCTATCGGATCATAGGATTTAGCCATTAGGCCACGCTTCCTCTTTGGTAAGGTCTGCTTTAGTCGATGAATTCCTAATGAAAGAAAGTTTATGAAAAAAATGTTATGTAGAGAATCTATCCTCATGATTATGAAAGATGCCTGGAATCTGATAACAGGTGAACATATCATATATTCCTTTTTACTTTTCAGCTATTTTCTCACCATGAGAATTAAACGACATTGAAATAAAATTATTAGTTTCCCTTACTCTGCCACCACAATGAAATATAGCCACATGAGTGAGATACTGAGTGCTTATAAACTGCACTGCAGCACTTTCCAAGACATGGGGAGGGAGGGGAGAAAAAGTATTAAACATTCCTTTAAAAAACAAACTTACTTTTGTGTATATCTTGCATAAATCCATGAAAATGTACTCTGCTCTTCCTCTCAACTTCTGCATGAGAATAAAATAAGTCCATCATCATGGTCTTTCCTGTGCCTAAAATCACAAAAATACAAGGGAATTGGTATGGATTGAAAAGAACAACAAATTATATTTGTATAGCACCTTTCATGCTGGGAAGACATCCCAAGGCGCTGGACAGTCAGGGATTTGGACTTGAGCAAGGGTTTGGGATCAGGAGGGATGGAGGGTAGGGAGGATATGGGTAGGAGGATGGCCGAAGGTGCAGTCGATGAGGAGGGTCTTGAGACGTGCCTTCAATAATAATCCTTGCATTTGATATAGCACTTTTCACTTTGGGAGGACGTCCCAAAGCGCTTCACAGAACACACTGTAAAGCGAATTGACTGTATAATGTCCCACAAACAGTCGTAGATTGAAAATGACCAATTTATTATTGTTTTTGGTTTTGGAGGGATTATTATTAGGCGTATGGAGTAACGAAACTTGCCCAAGGTTTCGCCCTGCCTGGAATTGAACTCAGGTCTCTCACTTGCAAAGCGAGTGCTCTAACCACTGAGCTACAGGTCTCCACTGTAGCTCAAGGAAGCAAGGGAGGGAGCGAGGTGAAGGGACTGTGGGATGGAGTTCCAAAAGCATGGGGCAGAGGTGCTAAAGGCCCGACTGTCGATGGTTGGGCAGGCTGGAGCCTGCTGAGCGGAAGGAGCAGATGGGTTGATATGGCAAAATAGCAAGAAATATTTCCTTTTCTCGTTGATAATGCTTTCTTTAAGCATTGTCATTTTTCACAATCTTTTCCAGGCAGTAAGTAGCACAGCAATGCTTTCAGGAATGAGTTGACCATTGCTGGATTAGTCCACTCTGACTTACACCTCACGCCTCTACCCATCCCCTTTGCTCAGCTGGCTCTGGGCTTCTGCACTCCCGTTGTCCTCTCTGCTCCACCATCAGCGAGTGTGCTTTCAACAACTCGGCCCCTAAACTCTCTGCCTCAATCCCTCTGCCTTACCCCTTTGCCTATCTTCAGATTGCACCTGAAGACCTTCCTCTTAGACCGTAACTTTGGTCACCTCCTTTCTCCCCCTGTCTCCATGTCAAGGTCTACCACTCTTAAGCACTCTGAGATACTATTCTGCGAGAAGGGTGCTACATAAATTCAACTTCTTGTTGTTCCTCACAAAACACAAATTGTCAGTGATATAGCTCCTTTCGTATCATAAAGTTGTCCCAAGATGCTTTTGGCTGTGTACCCGAGCTGGGGGTTGGAGCCGAGAGGGGAAGGATGTGGTTAAAAAGGTAAGTCTCAATCCATAATATCACCATTATGTCACATGTCAAACACTCCATTGTGTTTTAGCAGTTTGTGATTGCCATCAGCACTTTACCTCCCTTCACACCACACCCCCCACAAAAAAAATAGGTGGGATACAGCATATAATAAATCGGTTTGGAAATGGGAAAACAAAATAATTAACAGCCGTGTTAACAGAGTGTAACAATGGGAATATCAAATGCAAGGATAATCCTTGCATTTCATATAGTGCCTTATCACGTCTTCTAGAGTCTCAAAGCGCTTCACAGAATATACCGTAAATTGAATTGACTATATTTTGTGGGTGAAACGATACATTTTAATATACCAAGGTATAGAATGAGTTACCTCAAACAACTTACCAACACCTCCATACACATATAGGCCTTTGGGAGGTTGTGATCTTGGTAATAACTACGAAAATAAACAAATATTGCTTTCAGAGTTGATAAGCAAAATCAACAGTAAATATACTACACTTATTAATAATAATAATCCTTGCATTTGATATAGCGCTTTTCACGTCAGGAGGACGTCCCAAAGCGCTTCACAGAACACACTGTAAAGTGAAGTGACTGTATATTTGTGGGCGAACGCGGCAGCCAATTGCGCACAGCAATGTCCCACAAACAGTCGGGGATTGAAAATGACCAATTTATTATTGTTTTGGGTTTTGGAGGGAATATTATTAGGTGTGTGGAGTAAGGAAACTTGCCCAAGGTTTCGCCCTGACCTGCCGGGGATTGAACTCAGGTATCTCACTTGCAAAGCGAGTGCTCTAACCACTGAGCTACAGGACTCCACTCTACTTAATGTAGATTCTGCAAAGCACCACTAAGGTTCAAAAGAATGGAAGATAGAAATCCAGTTGTACAAGTATGTTAAGCCCAGGTTAGCTTTTAAAGACCCGTTGATTGGAGTAAGGAAAATAGAGAGGTAAGGAGTTCACGGATGTAAGAATTCACTTAAGACTTGGTGAGATAGTGAGACAAGATTAAGGGAGTGATAAGGAATGGGAACACTCAGTGGACTTTTCCATTCTTTGTCTAAAGACATTCTGCTGTGCCCCATCACTGTACCACTGCCCTGACTGACAGTCAGCTAATTCAGCACAGAGGTTTTTTTTATTTTAACTGTTTCCAAATTTAGAATTCTCAGAATATCACATTTTTTTAAGAAAAAAAACTGAATGGCACCAATTTTCATCTCCACAGGTTTCCTTTTGAGTTTCAGATGTGTGAATACAGATAAGGTGCAGGCTGGGTGAAAACAGAAAAAAAATGGTCCAGAGACTGATTAGAAACCTCACGAAAGCTAATAAAAACAAAAATATAGGTCGTACCTAAGCATAATGTGTGTCAAGATCAATTTTTCTCTTTTTAAAACAAATAGTATGTCCAATACTTTTTCAATTTTCTCCCCACTACAGTGGCATATACCCCTGCTGTTAGTCCCCAGCCTCTTCATGTTGGGATGTGGTTCCACAAGCACTGGTTGCCCTCCTATCGCCTGCCCAAGTGGCTGTTTTTCATGTTAGTCTTCCAGTGAATGTTAGCCTTGCCATTGAGTGTTAGCCTCGCCAGTGAGTGTTGTGGACATCACAGCCGAGCTCTTCTTGCCCAGTAGCCACTCACACACTACAGGTAGTGGGTATTGTAGAGGGACCAGGAGCAGGCATCCCAGCTGGTGCTCCTCGTCCTAACCCTGGGAGGACTGGTGCCATTTACCCTCTATATTGCAACTATGACCTGTAAACAGCATGGACCAAGAGTTATGCAGCTCTATCATTTTTGGGGGGGTTGGCAAGTGACTGACACACACAGAAACCCATCAGCATGATTGAGTATCCAAACCAGGTAGAGTTCCACATTTCTGTGCAACTACACATGGAAATGTCTCTGTATCTGGAAGGAATCTAATTCTCTCCTTGGAGGGGCATACCCTGCTTAGCTAATTCTGGAGAGTATTCAGTGCAGGTTGGCAAGAGCTGAGATTCGGCAAACCCTGAGCGTGTGTTTGGGTACTATTAGAGCTAAAACTGCCCATCTTACCATTGAAAGTACTGTCTGGCAGACTTCCCACTGCTTGTCCAGTTAGACCACTTACCGATTAGGACTCTGGCTTGCTGGGTGAGCAAGAGCCGAATGGGAAGAATCGCTACTCCCATGTCTTGTCTGGTCTACCCCTCCAAGTCCTGCCAAAGAGCCAGGCTGGCTGGTCTATCATCAGCAGTACCCTGGAGTACTGCAGACTCCCCTACCAGCTTTACAAAGTATTGATTCAATTCCAACATTCCATTGCCATGCACATCACCTTGGAGCCAGCTCACTTACCTACCCCCACCCCTCCAGGAGAATTGTACATCCACTATTCTATTCTAACCACTACACTATCAGGACTGTCGATCAAAATGTTTTTTTGATAGCTCAGCCTTTAACCTCACCTTTGACAATAAATTTTTCGGACCGGCGTTATATCCTTTAACTACTTCGTGAAGCTTCTGGAAACATAGAAGAACCCTTTTTTGTTGCTCATCATTGTTTATTTTTCCCTGTGCGGTCAGTGTCTCATAATGCCCCAGAGGGCCTCCAGTACTTGGTGCAGAAGTGGAATCTTGTGGAGAAAGCCCAGTCTGAGTTGCAGTGCTATCTTTTGCGTAAAGAGTGTAAGCTGAAACAAATCACAAAGAAAACCAATGACTTGAAACTTTAAGGCTTTGACACTGACAATAGTGAGCTGTATGTGCTGTACCATGAATAGATAGCCTCTGTAAGTCACCTCTTCAAATTAGCTTGTTCATCTTAATGCCTAGAGCAGAACATGCTCTCTTCCTTTATTAATATTCAATCACAGTTTCTGCTGATGCTTAAACCTCTTCTGACTTTCTTCTTTTATAGCTTTCAAAAGTCACTGCTGGGTTTAAGCACCAGCAGAGACCTCACCACTGTCACGAACCTGATGAAGGGGCGTTTCGTTGACACCCTGCAATGTTATTTGAATGTCCCCTGTGGGTATCATCAATCAGAACTAACTGTGCTCAATTGAGCTTAAACTTACATCATTCAGCCAGTGATTAAATTCATATTAATGTGTGTATCAACACACAGCTGCTGCAATACAGTAAAATCAACTGAGTATCTATACTGCAACATCGACATTGAAATACTGAAAACAGTTATTGCAGAACATAGGGAATCCATAATGCATCAAAATTCAGGATGAAATACGTACTGTTGTGTAGCTTTTGAGAACTATACCCTTACATTTGTGGTAAAAGTATCCTTACCTTCTCCTCTGCATCTAATTTCAAATGTTTCTTTTTAAACTCACTGTTCAGCAGTTAGCTTATTGAAGACTTACCAGTTTGACTGCTTTTGCCACCACCCCCACCAATACTCCTAGAGCCCTCCAAGCCTTTGTAAAGTGTTCTGAGATGTTCTCCTGACATGAAAGGTGCTATCTATGCAAGTATAAATTGTTGTATCTTCCTGGTCCAAACTGTGCCTTGGTCGGGTTGCCAAGATTTGGAGAAAGGAGAGGGGCAAAATACAACATAATTTTGCTCAACTACTTTCAGTACAGTGTAAAAAAACATAATTTTGCAATAGCCCAGCTTCACACGGTTACCCATGTTGGGCCTGCTCGCCTTATAATCAAGGAGCCTTTGAGGTGGGCAAGCTGAAGTTTTCAAGATTATGAAGGGAATCAACAAAGCTGATCCACAGAAATTGTTCACTGCAGCGAAAGGTTCAAATTCCAGGGATCACAAGTACAACATGAGGAATAAGGAGGGGAGTCAGGCGGATTTTTGTTAAAATACACAAAGGATAAGAGAATGTGGAACAAGTTATCAATGAGAGTCATTGAAGCAGATAGTATAAATGGATTCAAGAGGCAATTAGACGTGTTTCTGGATAAAGAAGGGATTGAGGGATATGGTGAGAAGGCAGATAGCCGTGGTTGAAAACTAACAAAAAGGCTTGTTGGGCCCAATGGCCTTTTCCACCATTAAAACACCTTTGCTTCTAAAGATTTTTTATTTCTTTTTTAAAATACAGCTGGCCTCAACTAACCTAAATAAAAAAACTATGAAAGCACAATCAAAGCAGTTTCTCGCCTACCTTTGGTATGACGGGTTTTAGTATCAAATTTAACTAACATTCTGCGATTCTATAAGAAGCATTGGAACGAAAGCAGCAGTAGCTGGTATAGCAAAGCAACATCATAATGCCAATTGACAACAGAGTCACCCATAAATGTGCTGGATTACATAATCGGCCCAAACCTACCTCAGCCTTGAAAAATTGTTAATCAAAATCCTTCAACTGCTAATCAGATTTCAAGTAGGTTCAGCAGTACCGTTAATCAAGTCCAAAAATTATTTGGAGCCCATAGCCCAATGAATACATTAGCATCTGAATAGTCTTGACCTTTGCGTTAATCCTTTAATCCCTTCTCACCTAGTTTGCAACATTTCTACAACACTCTTCCTTTATTTATTTCAGTAAAGTACATTTACGTGTCTACATGTTTACTTCCACACAATTTTTTAGTTGTTTCTACTCGTATTTATTTTAAGAAGCCTCTTATTATAATGTGCCTTCTGCTAGCTTCTCTCTCCCCTAGAAATCATTCAAATAGGATCCTTGAGGGGCCCCTCTGTGAGCAATGAAGAGTGGTGAGAACAAGTGCCTTACTTGAGAGCTCAGTAAAACATATGTCAGAATGAGTTGGTCTCCCTATGCTGGGTAAGAGATCACACTACTCAGCAACCATCCCCCTCTCTGTGTACTGGAGGTTCAATTTTTTTCTCTTTCTTTCTTTTCTCTTTCTTTCCTTTCTAAGACAGACAGCACAATATAAATTCAGAAGTATACTGAAAAGACCTCAGTAGAACTTGTAGCTATGATTTCTTAAGTATTGGAATAAGCTAAACAAAGAGCAGCAACAAGGATTTCACGTGTGAGCTACCTGAAAGCAGTGGCTGAACTCTGCATATCACTGAAAGGCATAATAAGGTCAAGAAAAGCCACTCAATTCATTATTGTTACTACTCGGCCTTTTGAGGATCTTAAAATTTCTCTAAAGTTCATATCTTTAAGGGATGAAGTTATTCACCGAGTCACCAGGAGATATTTCAAGTCGGTTCATAACTATTTTAAATAACTTGAAACAGGATAAGGGTCATTGCTATGAAGCAAAATGAAGAAATGCAGGATTCCTAAACCTATGTCTGTCTTCAGAAAAAGTAAATGTTTCCAACTACTGTAGTGAGCAATCAACAGCAAAATGAAAAATGTGAATATCTATTTAGTCGTGCACAAATACTGTACATTTCTGTTTTTTCAAGAGCACACATATTCAATGTATTCCAGGGCCCTGCTGATGATAGCACAGGTCCTGCAAGGGCAACCCTGTCACTGGGGGCAGGGAGTCATCCCCATCAGCTCCTGTTAACCATGCAAGCCAACACCCTACCAGTTAGGGTGTCCTAGCTGGACAAGCAGCGGGAAAGCTTGCTGGACTGCAATATCAATGTAAGCTATGCAGTTTTAGCTGGTTCGACTCTTGCAGTACCCCAATGCACACTCTGGAGTCTCCAAGCCTTGGCTCTTGCCAACCTGCGCCTAATACTTTCCGGAATTAGGTGAGCAGGATGTGTCCCTCCAGGAAAAGAGTGCGCATTCCATTCCAACAATCTATCTCTGGGATTTCCACATGCAGGTGGGATGCATATAAATCTCAGCTTGGTTTGGATACTCTTAAGTATCATGACGGGTTTCTGCATGTGTCAGACACCCAGCTGACCCAAAAAAATTTAAATGGATAATTATGCTGAAGTGTTGCTTTAGGATACAGCATTTGATTCTGCATTGGAATGAAAGTGAAGAGGAGAGAACAGCATTCCATTTCGTTTTGATGCAGAAACATTTGAGAAAAATCTTAATATTGAAAGAACCTATTTCTGTTCCTTGGTAGGATAAATATCAAGATATTTAAAATTGTTATGAAGTGACTTTAAATATCTCCTTGTGACTCAGTGAGTAAATGCATCCCATAAAAATATGAACTTTAGAGAAATTTTGCTTGTAAGATCCTGCAATTAATTTAATTAATTTAATCTCCATCTAGGGTCTTTAAACATTTCGTCTTCAATGACAGAGATCATGATTAGATGCTGTATCGGTGTGTAAATCATTAAGGAAATAGAAAGTGAGGTACTGTAAACTAAAAACCCAGGTAGGCGGACTCATGGGGGAGATCGGATCCAGGAAGCCGGAATTTTCAGCTAACTGTAATGACTATTGATAATATATATATACCTGAATTTTTCAGCACTGTGTTTTTTTAATGCGTGAATGTACTGTATGTTAAACTTAGTATCTTTTGCTCACTCACCAAAGCAGGCCTATATGAGGACACTGTGTAAGGCTGACCATTGTGTAGGCGAGCAAGGATTGTGAGTGGGAAACTGGCATCATGTGGGCTTTTCAGCACGGCGTGGGCGCAGTGGGAGAGTTGGGTTGGCAGGAATCTACACATGGGAAGGTGGAAATTTTTTGCCCAGGGATTTTTTTTTAAGAGTTTGTTTTCAGGACCAGTCCGGCTAGGTCTGAATTCCAGATAATAATAATAATAATCCTTGCATTTGATATAGCGCTTTTTACGTCTTCTAGACGTCCCATACCCAGAGTCTAATAAGCTTGGGAATTACTGTACTTTTTTCTTAAGCATAATACAAGATTTAGGAGCCACTAGGGCCAAAGTTTTCACATCTCTGATATAACCCTAAAAAGCAAAATTAAACTTGAGGTACAATGCAACATATGTACAATAATAATCCTTGCGTTTGATATCACGTCTTCTAGATGTCTCAACACAGAATATACTGTAAAGTGAATTGACCGTATGTTTTGTAGGCGAAAAGTGGTAGCCAATTGCATTCAGCAATGTCCCACAACCAAATGTGGATTAAGTGATCAAATAATTTTTTTTTATAAGGGATCCGCCCATCAACTAACAGCCGGGTTCTTACTTACTGCGAGGTAAACAGAGGCGTGTGGACTAAGGAAATATGCCCAACTTTTCGCTTATGAGCGAGTGCTCTAACCACTAAACTGCAGGACAATGACAGAAGCAGCCCCCACAGGGCCAGAGGGGAACATATTTATTTAAAAAATTAAAAAGATAAAGAGAAATAGCCAAAGCAGGTTTGTTTTCATATATCTTCCCCATCCTCTTGCAAGATGACTGGCAGCTGCTGAGGCCTTGGAGCATCCCTTCTGCCTATTCGGGGCAGATACATGATTTAGGAAGGCTTGACATGGGAAGAGGTGGGGGAGAATACCAGCATTGTATATTTTAAGACATTTGTAATCTGATGAAACAGTTTAAATCTCTAGTACACATGAAACCACAGAACCCCCACAATAGTTTCCAACTACATTCCACAGGTATTTGATTACACTTTTACAAACACGGGTAGTTTTTTAAATATATTTAAGAAAGGACATTCTTCACCAACTTCCAACCTTCTTCATCAACTTCCAACCACATGAATTCTTGGATCAATAAAAAAAATTGGAAGGTGATGTTGTTCACCTTCAGGCTAATTGTTCTGGATGGGATTTTAAAATCAATGTGCCTTACACAAGATTCACCCACAGCGATCCTGATGCAGCCATCAAGCTGCTGAATGACCAGCTCTCCACAACCTTCAATTCCTTGGCTCCCCCGAAATCCAGGGTTGTTTCCCAACCCACCTGCTCCCCCTAGTACAACAGTCATCTACGCTGACTCAAAATACAAACCCAGACCTTCAAGTGCAGATGGCAGAAATTCGGCCTCATGATTTCTCCACCAGCTATGCCTCGAGCACCTCCGCACCTAGCGCCTCTCCCTTTCACAGGCCAAAACTGACTTTTACTCCAAAGTTATCCTGGAGGCAAACAACAATCCCAAATCACTGTTTTCCACCGTCCATCAACTCCTCCGTGCAACCCCTTAAGCACTCTCTATACTCACATCTACCGCCAATTGTAAAGAGGTCCTAGACTTCTTCACCTCAAAGATCGAAAGCATCCGTTTGGCTGCATCGTCCTCCCCCCCACCCCCATGTCCCCTTCCACCCCACCCAGACTATACACACTGCCTTATCCCTCTACCACGGCTCCTGCTACTCCCCCCTCTTTGCAATCCTTTGCCTCCCTCCTCCCTTTCAACTACAATCACCCGGATAAAAGTTCACCACCTGCTGCCTCAACTCCCTCCCCTACCAGCTGCTGGTCACTCAACCCCCCCTCCTCTCTCCCAGCTGCCCGACATAGTCAATCAGTCTCTCTCCTCAGGCTCTGTTCCACTCCCCCTCAAAACAACAAAATTACATTTGAGTTACGGACCCGAGCTGAGGGTCGGGGTGGGGGAGGGGGGAGAGCAGGGGGGAAGCAAGGAAATCGAAAGCACGGTCGAAGAGGAGGGTCTTGAGGTGGGTCTCAAAGGTGACGAGGGAGGGGGCGAGACTGAGGGATGGAGTTCCAGAGGGTGGGGGCAGAGTGCCGGAAGGTCCGCCCGGTGTTAATGGGGCGAGCAAGGCGGGGGACGTGAAGCAGGCTGGAACCCGCTAAGTGGAGGGAGCGAACAGGGTTGTAGGGATTAGGAGGTCAGAGAGGTAGGGGGGAGCAAGACCTCTGTTATCACACCCCGCCTAAAAAATCTACCCTCGATCAATCTAATTTCTCACACTGCAGTCCCATTTCCAACCTTCTCTTACTTGCCAAAGTCCTGGAACGCATTGTTGCAGGTCAGCTTCGGTCACACCTCTCCCTCCACTCCCTCCTCGAGCCCCTGCAGTCTGGTTTTCGTCCAGCCCACAGCACAGAGACAGCGCTTGTCAAAGACACAAACAATGTCCTCTCTATCTGTGACCAGGGTTCCCTCTGCCTCCTCGTCCTCCTGGATCCCCCTGCCGCATTCGACACAGTCAACCACGCCATCCTCCTCCACCGCCTTTCCTCCCTCATTCACCTTAGGGGGCCACACTCACATAGTTTGAGTCCTACATAATCAAATACATCCATCTCATCTCAGCCAATGATTTCTCCTCCCGCCCCCACCCGGTCACCCAGGGCTCCATCCTTCGCCCGTTTCTTTTCTTCATCTACATGCTCCCTCTGGGTGATGTCATCAACAGACACGGGGTAAACTTCCACTTTGCGTCCTCCAGTACCAACTCCAGGTCCGTCGACGTTCTATATAGCACCCTCCACGCTGGACGGCATCTCAGAGCGCTTTACAGTAACAGATCCTGGGACCGAGCCGGGGGGAGGGGGAGGAAGATGACCAAAGGCGCAGTCGAAAAGAAAGGTCTTCAGCAGAGACCTGAAAATGGGAAGGGAGGGAGCAAGACGAAGGGAGTGAGGAAGGCAATTCCAGAGCCTCGGGGCATAGTGGCTGAAGGCACGGCCGCCGAGGGTAGAGCGGGGGACGAGGAGGAGGCCAGACCCAGAGGAACGAAGGCAACGGGTACTGTTTTGAGGAGAGAGGTCAGAGAGGTAGAAGGGCGCAGAGGAGTGCAGGGACTTGAATACAAGGGTGAGGATCTTGAAATCGATCCTCTCTGGGATAGGCAGTCAGTGCAGTCTGGCGAGGACTGGGGTGATCGGGGAGAGGAGTTTTGTGCGGGTCAGAAAGCGGGCGGCAGAGTTTTGAACGATTTGGATTTTATGGATGGTAGTGGATGGGAGACCGGTGAGGAGGGCGTTGGAGTAGTCCAGCCGAGAGGTGACAAAGGCATGGACCAGGATTTCAGCAGCTTTTGGGGAGAGATATTGGCAGAGGCAGGCGATGCGTCAGAGGTGGTAGAAGGCGGTGCTGGTGAGGGACCAGATGTGGGGGAGGAAGGATAAGTGGGGGTCGAACCTGATGCTTTAGGTTGCGTACGGGTTCGGAGAGTTTTAGGGGGAAGTTGGGTAGGTGGAGGAGGTGAGAGCCATGAGATTTTAGACGTTAATGAGCCAAAGAGTAACCATTCTGTTTTTAAGTTAAGACCGAGTAGAACTGTGGAAAATTTTCATATTGAGTCTTAATTTGGAAGCATTTTTTTAAAAAATAAGAACAGCAGAAAAGCAGTTTCCAAATTAAGCCTAAATGTAAGAATTTCCCACAAATCTGCAAGATGGTTAATTTTCAAGGCTCAGTAAATGACCTAACAGACAGAGACTAGATCAAACTTTAAACACCCAAACAATGTTCCTGGTGTAAAACTGCACACTACGCCTTCCCATAGCTGCTAATGCTGTGAAGGAACAAGAACTTGCATTTATATAGCACCCATAGGATATTGTCACAGGGATGGTGTTGAATGCGGAGCGGGGAGAAGATGACCATACTTGCAGCCGAAGAGTTAAGCTTTTAAGGTGGGATATAAAGACAGCACGGAAGGCTTTGTGGATGGTAGAGAGAAGTTGAAGGCGAGTGAAGTGGAGGAGTGCAGAGAGAGGGAGGTGAGGTGGGGGCTTGGGGGAGGGCGAGATGGAGGCCTAGGGAGGGGGATGAGGTGGAGGGTAGGGAGCGGGGGTAAGGTGGGGGTAGGGATGTGGGCAGGGGTGGGGGGGGGGCAAGATGAAGGGCGGGGGTGAGATGAAGGGTAGGGTGGGGGTGCGAGATGAGGATAGGGATGGTGGGGCAAAATGGAGTGTAGAGGGGGGCCGAGATGGAGTGTAGAGAGTGGGGGGCGAGATGGAGGGTAGGCAGGTGGTGGCGAGATAGAGGGTAGGCAGGGGGCGAGATGGAGGGTATGTGTTGGGCAAGGTGGAGGATAGAGAGGGGAGGGCGAGGTGGAGGGGTTGAGATGAAAGGTGGGGGAGGGGGGGTGAGATGGAGGGGGGGTGAGATGGAGGGGGGGTGAGATGGAGGGAGGGGGGTGAGATGGAGGTGGGGGGGAGATGGAGGGATGGAGAGGTAATGAGTTGGGGTGATACGGTTTGTAGGGGGGGGGAGAAAGTCACGGTGACTGTTGAAGAGCAGACCCCTCCCTCAGCCCATGTTACCTGCCCAGCCCCAGCCCCACCCCGTTAGTTACTCCTTTCCAGGTGTTTACGTCCAGTCGCTTCGAGGAGAAGACGGGGTGGTTGGAGACCGGAGAGGTGGGAGGCCCTGTGGGGCAGTAAGAGCCGCAGACACGCTGCAAATCTCAGTCTAAACAGCGGGGGCTGAAATCACTGGAGCCTGATGCAGTAGGCCGGGCCGGGCCGGGCCGCACCAACAGCACACACTGTGCTTCCTGGAGCTCCCGGCGCCGGCTTCAAACTCCTCCTTTAAAACATTACACCCCCCGCCCCTCCCCCCCCCGCCCCCGCCCGCCCCGGGGACACTCACACCTCGCTGCCCGCGCTGCCGCTCACCTCTGTACGGCGCCCGGCAAAGGCCTGGCGATAACCGGCTGTTTTCGATGTTTAAAACCCGAATCAGACGACCGACCGTAACCAGGGGCGACATGACAGCCGCCATCTTGTCCAACCCCTGAGATTGACAGCCTGACAGACCTGCCACCCCCGCTCACACACTAACTACACACTAACTACACCCACACACTAACTACACACTAACTACACCCACACACTAACTACACACTAACTACACCCACACACTAACTACACACTAACTACACCCACATACTAACTACACACTAACTACACCCACACACTAACTACACACTAACTACACCCACACACTAACTACACACTAACTACACCCACACACTAACTACACACTAACTACACCCACACACTAACTACACCCACACACTAACTACATCCACGCACTAACTACACCGCACTCCCACACACTAACTACACCCCACACCCACACACTAACTACACCCCTCCCACACACTAACTTCACCCACACACTAACTGCACCCCGTTCCCACACACTACACTCCGCACACTAACTACACCCGCTCCCACACACTAACTACACCCGCTCCCACACACTAACTACACCCGCTCCCACACACTAACTACGCCCGCTCCCACACACTAACTACACCCGCTCCCACACACTAACTACACCCGCTCCCACACACTAACTACACCCGCTCCCACACACTAACTACACCCGCTCCCACACACTAACTACGCCCCCCCACACACTAACTACCCCGCTCCCACACACTAACTATGCCCGCTCCCACACACTAACTACACCCGCTCCCACACACTAACTACACCCGCTCCCACACACTAACTACGCCCGCTCCCACACACTAACTACACCCGCTCCCACACACTAACTACGCCCGCTCCCACACACTAACTACACCCGCTCCCACACACTAACTACACCCGCTCCCACACACTAACTATGCCCGCTCCCACACACTAACTACACCCGCTCCCACACACTAACTACACCCCTCCCACACACTAACTACACCGCTCCACACACTAACTACGCCCGCTCCCACACACTAACTACCCCCGCCACACTCCACACACTAACTACGCCCACTCCCACACACTAACTACGCCCACTCCCACACACTAACTACGCCCGCTCCCACACACTAACTACACCCGCTCCCACACACTAACTACACCCGCTCCCACACACTAACTACACCCGCTCCCACACACTAACTACCCCGCTCCCACACACTAACTACGCCCGCTCCCACACACTAACTACGCCCGCTCCCACACACTAACTACGCCCGCTCCCACACACTAACTACGCCCGCTCCCACACACTAACTACGCCCCGCACACTAACTACGCCCGCTCCCACACACTAACTACGCCCGCTCCCACACACTAACTACACCCGCTCCCACACACTAACTACGCCCGCTCCCACACACTAACTACGCCCGCTCCCACACACTAACTACGCCCGCTCCCACACACTAACTACGCCCGCTCCCACACACTAACTACGCCCGCTCCCACACACTAACTACACCCGCTCCCACACACTAACTACACCCGCTCCCACACACTAACTACGCCCGCTCCCACACACTAACTACGCCCGCTCCCACACACTAACTACACCCACACATTACAGGGTCAAACGAGACACCCAGGTTCCTGACGGGCTTAGTGAGGTTGAGTGTGCAGCCGTGGAGGCTGACGCTGCCAGCGCCCGAGGTGCGGAGGCACTGGCGTGAGCCAATCAGGAGGGTCTCGGTCTTCAGTTGGAGAAAGTTGTCCCTCATCCAGGACTTGATGTCGGACAGGCAGTCGATCAGGACGCCAGTAGTGCTGGAGTTAAGGATGGAGGCAGAGAGATAGAGTGGGGTGTCATCCACATACATGTGGAAATTTACCCCATGTCTGCGGATGATGTCACCAAGGGCGAGCACGTAGAGGGTGAAGAGGAGGGGACCGAGGACAGAGCCCTGAGGAACACCGCACGAGACGGTGCCGGGCCTGGAGGAGAAGCCGTTTGCTTAGGCAGCGTGAAAGATAGGACCTGAACCAGCCAAGGACAAAACCTTGGAAGTTGAGGTGGGAGGAGAGGTGGTGGAGGAGGATTGAATGGTCCACAGTGTCAAAAGCAGCGGAGAGGTCGAGGAGGACGAGGAGGCAGAGGGAGCCCTGGTCACACATGGTCAGGATGTCACTTGTGACCTTGACTAGCCTGCACTCTCTCATGTACACTAACTACAGGTTGCTCTCACGCATACACTAACTGGAGACTGCTCTCACACACACACACTGCAAGCTTCCCTCTCTGCTGGGATCAGGGTGCTCTTTCACCATAGCAGCATGTCTTGAATAAGGGATTTTTTTTTAATTTGAAAAAAAATCCTCACCGTTAAGCAGAGTTTAAAGCATCTTGCAATTTGGTATACAATTCTGCATGGGGTCCAGTACAGATGTTGACTATTTTTTGTAAATATTGGGTTCAATTGTCCAATGGGTTAATAAACACTCACGTACTAATTACCTAGTAATAACCCTTACATTTTTTACTTAATTTCTTTCTCATTCTCAAAATCATTATTTTTTCCAGTTATGTTTTCTACTTTAAATGTCTCTCCTTTCCTGAAAGGATTTTGTTCTTGTTTTCCTTCAACTAGGTGAAGTTTTCACAGGTACCTGGTGTCTGGTACTTTCTCATGTGTACCTTTCTCATGTGTGACTGTTGAGAGTAAGTGCTGGCAGTGACTGTAGAAAGCATCCTGGTTTAGCCTAGCTTGAACTTGTCTTGAAACACGTGCATCTACAACAGAAAAGTTGTTTAATGATCAGGAGCCAGAACCATGACTGATATCTCCCTCTCTAAGTTGCAGAGAATTACATAGACTGATTTTTTTAAAATCAAAATATATATATTTATTTGTTAGTATATATTTACGCTTGTCTCAGACAGTATCAAACCCATTCCAGAAGATGCAACATGTTATTATCCATTTATGGAAAGCAAACAAACCCAGCACCTTGTGGCGTGTGGGGCTTGCCTCTGCGCACTCCACTTTGGTGAAGGGACCAAGGCTTCCCTACCTTGGCGTTCTGCCGCCCTTTGCATACACAGTTAGAAATGGGGTCTTTTCTACAGGGAGCTAGTCCTGGCTCCGCCATCATTTTGCAGGATGGTGAGCCTTTACCTCACTCCCTGCTGCTCCCCCATTTCTGGGGGGAGGCAGGCAGACATACTCCTTCATGCATGCATTACGTTTTCTCTTAAATACGTTGAAGATGGGATGCGAAACCAATTTTAATGCCTCTAATGCCACCCTGGTTGTACAGCACAGATTGGAGATCAAACATGAGACTTTCAAAGTCTGTATGGCTCAGCATTCTCACTGAATAAACTTGCTGAGCTTCTGGGGAACATTTTCAATTGATGAAACAAAGCTGCTAGCAAACTGCTCGATTTGTGCCCATTACCAGCTTACAGGGGCTTGGAATAATGTCAATTCCTTTGAAACATTGTGTTCTTCTTCATTCAGATTTGAAGTAAGATTGATGTTAATTTTCAAAGCTCACCATGCATTAACTACTAGTTTATGGACTCCGAACATTTTTTCAAATCAAGTATTCATTATTAGAACTGCACTTTCAAAGCTGTACTCTATCGTCCGAGTTATTCGCCAACTTCTTGGTTTCAATGGGTTCAATACATTATAAAGCTTGTTTTCACAAATGTTATATATTTAATACATGTAAGATTACAGAGATTTCTTTTATCCTTGGTACAGAATCCCTAAGACTTTCCACTCTAAGACAAATCTATTGAGTGTTGGTTCAGGGGTTGAAGCAAACAAAAAACGTCTGATGTGTACAGCAGAATACCAAAAAGTAGCTTCTTGGTACATTCAGTTATTCAAAGCCTTTTAAAAAAACAAATGTGTATGGAGGTAATATACATTTTAAGATGTACTATATAGCAATGGACACAGAATTAGAAAATATTCTGCATTTAAATATGACCTGTATATATAAATAACTAATGTATTGCCTTGACTATATGACTACTGCATTTGCCTACAAAAGCAGTGTAAATAAATGTTTTACTCACTACATGGCTGTTTCTGGGACATTGCTTTGTACAACTTTTCTGCATTTCATCCAGAAAACACACAGTCACTACTTTACAGTATATCCTGTGAAGCATTTTGTGACGTCTGGATGACGTGAAATGCAAATGCAAGGATAATTATTATTACTTTACACACAGGAATGCGATATTTCAAGTGTTAAGTAACACACTTCTCTACCCTTTCTCTTGTATGAAGCAAGTCCATTGACAGAAAGATTAAAAAACTTCCAAAATGGAGGTACGAGTTCATTGTAACTGCAAAAGGAAGTATGGCATGCAAATTAAAACTTGCCTTTGCCAAGTTTTATGAAATATGCTAATAATAATGCATTTGATATAGTGCCTTATTATATTTTTGTCAATATTTCAAAGGACCTCTCAGGATTTTACTGTAAGGTGTAGTTACTTTATATTTATAGGTGAACACGGCAGTCAATTTGCACATAACAATGCCCCACAAAATCCCATGGAGTGAATGACCAATTGTATTTGGAGGATTGTTGGCCAGGTCACCAGTGGAACTCCCTTCTCTTTTGAAGTAGTGCCACGGGATCTTTAACATCCACCTGAACAAGCAGACAAGACCTTGGTTTAACTTTTCATGCAAAGAACAACTGGCATTTATGTGGCACCCTTCATGCAGGTAGCATCACATAGTGCTTAACAGTGGTGTGACTTGACGCCGACTGAGAAAGGGAGCGGAGGTGACTGAAGGCACGATCTAAGAGGAAAGTTTTCAGGTGTGATTTGAAGATGGGCAAAGAGGGTGGGGGCAAGATGGAGGGCCTGAGTCAGAGAGATTCAGGGCAAAGTGACCAAAAGCACGGCCTCCAATTGCGGAGTGGAGGGCACTTTTAACAAGGCAGTGCTCTCCCAGAACTTCATTGAACTGTCAGGGTAGACTATGAACTCAAATTCCCTATGGAGAAGTAGGTGATTCACCAGCATTACATTTTCTCAAATCATACTCTGATGAAATGAACTTGCACAGCAAAGTATGTCACATTTTGATAAATTACACTGTCTTTGAGACATGGTGTACCATCCTTGAGATAAAACTTTAAATCTTTTCCACAATATATGTAATAACAGAGTAAATATTCTAGGTTAGAAATCAACCATGCTTTGCTTCTGTCTTGATAGTTTCATAGATCATAGAACGATTAAATAAAGGTTACTTTGTTTGATGGTTTATTCTCTCAGATCAAAGTCGAAAGAATGTCTCAACACCAAGTAGTTGAATGGACCCAAACAACCATTGGACCTGAAGAGAAGGAGAACAATGAGCAAGCAAAACTCAACAAGGCGATTCCATCTCAGCAGCACTGTCCTCGACCCGAACATCATATGCCTGGGGCTGGGCCTGAGCAGGTCACCACCCACTCACTTAAGTGGCTCAGAGGTAGCTTAGGAGCACCCAGATCTTAGTGCTTCCATACCAGTGGAGGCAAGTCTTGAATTTGCATTTGAAGTTAATTCTTGAAATGTTGATAATCTGTTTGGCTCATTGTGCAAAGTTTTGGGGATCAAGGTAAAGGAATTTGCTCATTGTACTGCAATTTGAGTCATTATTTTGGTTCTGGAGACAAGGGCCTATTTTAGACTATATTTTCTTGGGTATATTGTTTAATACACAGTATGGTGGTATTCTATGTCTGATATTTAATTTGCATTTCAGATGCTCTCTGTTATAATGTATTATCAGTTAACCATCCGAATCTCAGACTGCCTATCACAGATAGACTCTATTTGTGTTTGTAATAGCACATTTTGTCAGCATTCCCAATTGAGTTGACCGTTTCCAATACTTACCAGTTTCCCTAAAAATATTTGATGGTTTCTGGCTCTAGTTCTCCTGATGTTTTGAGCTGCTGTATATCTTGCCTTCTCAATTCTGAGCTTGTTTATCACTCTCCTGCATTTCCTGTCAGAAAAAAAGAGGCTGAGAATACAAACAGGAGAAGGGGGAAATGTAGATTTATCACCTTGAGATTTTAATGAGTATTGGTCAGTTGAAGCTATGTCACAGGAAACAATAGCAAGGATCCCATTCCTGAAAGGGCAATCGATGGGATAAACTGTGAGGAGAAGCAGATTGAAGGTGCTAGGATTGTGCTTGTAATTGTAATAGTAAAACAGCTTCCAGTCCTCTAGAATCATACAGTACAGAAGGAGGCCATTCGGCCCATTGTGTCTGTCCGGCTTTTTGAAAAGAGCTGTACAAATCAATCCCACTTCCCCGCTCTCTCCCCATAGCCCTGCGAACGTGTTCCTCGCCAAATAATTATCTACTTCTCTCTTAAAAGTTGTTATCGAATTGGCTTCCACTCTGACTGAAAATAACATGAGTCATACATTGAGATGATATGAGGAACCTATACAACTATTCACCTGGCTACAATAGATGCTGTTATTGTATCAGCCCAACTGATCCCAATAGCACATTTGTAACAAACATCATCACTCTCTTTAACCTTTGAAACACTTAGTTACACACAATTTATTGTTCTAACTGTACATAAGCACATGATAAGATGGAAACATGAGTAGATCATTCAGAACCTGTTCCACCAATTCATTAGATAATGGCTGATCTGCAACTTAGTATAATTTTCCTGCCCTTCCATCTGGATACCCCAGCCTACCAAAATCGACCTCCCTCTTTAATATTTCAATATTCAATTGACCCAGCAGCGTTATGGAAATGTGGAACTCACTACGGGTAGTGAGTTCCACATTTCCATAACCGTTTTAATGTTGTAAGACTTAACCACTAGTTTGAAAATAGCCACAGTCATAAAAGTTAATGATACAATTTGATACTGCACCAGTTTATAGACTGCTTGAGAACCAGTTCAAATAGAATTGAAAACTGCTTCTGCCTGCAATCTACCTTGTTTGGTTTGCGATTTGGAATGCAACACCCCACCTCATCAACATGGCATCAAATATATTGTTCAAATCATGGTGGTTTTCATTTGGGAAATAAGAAACAATCAGTAATGTTTGTCCATTATGTATAATATGAGATGAATGCTAGTAAATTAGAATAATCCAATATCTGGGCTCAGCAGGGAAGAAACAATTATTTGGTGCTTACATTACAATCACAACTTGCCTTTATTTATATAACGCCTTCACATAGGATAACATCTTGGAGTGCTATAACAATGATGGGATTGGATGTTGAGAAAGAGGGGGAAGGTGACCATAGGCACAGTCAAAAAGGTGTAAAGGCAGGATTCAAAGACAGAAAGATCGAGCGAGGGAGTTCCAGAGATACAGTCACAGAAAGCACATAGCAGCCCAAATTAGCCAAGCAGAGGGCACAAGCAGAAAAGTAGGGTGGAAAATGATCACTGAAAGAGGGTGGTGCTATGGTGTTGAGGATTCACAGTTGAAGGGTGAGGAACTTGAAGTTGTTTCGTTGGGTGACAGGCAACCATTAGAGGCCAACCGGGGCAGCTATGATGCACTTGCAGAGTTTAGTGTGGATGAGGATGGCGGAGCTTTGTATTAGCTGGAACATTTGGATTAAGTTTGGAGTGTGCTTGGGTAAATTTGGGATTGGATCATGCATATTGAACTTGTACGTTGGTAGTACTCATTGAATTTTGACCTCATAGAATGATTCTGACTTGTGGATACTGCTACTCCTGGAATCTACTTCATTTAAATAATACAGCAAGAGTATCTGTTCCCAATTTAAATGACATAAAAGGCAGTAAGTGCCCTCCCTTTTACCCTTTATTCAAATTAGGGAAAATAAGTAGTGTTTTTCTATCATTTACATTTTGGGAGCAGGTTGAATATTATCCTCACATTTTGTATATTACAAGTCGTGAGAACGGCTCTAAGCTCTTAACACTGTAAAGTGGAGTGACTGTATTTTGTGGGTGAATGGACAGCCAATTATTCTTGTGGTATTTTGTGCCTTCAGTTGATTCATTTTTAATCTGCTGTATATGGATTAATATTAATGCCTGATCATTATGTCTTAGTTATGCTGTAGACACCGACTTGTTGTGGTACTTGCAACACAGGAATTGAGAGCTGGCAAACCACAATTACATTGTCTGCTTCCCATTCTTCTCGCCTGCGAGTTAAACTGGGGAAATCGGATCTCTCTGTACAAACACAATTTAAGTGGCTGAATGCTGGTAAATTTTAAAGCTATTAAAGAATTGTGATTTCCCTTGGCTCTTTAATAACGTTAAAGACATGCTATTAAATCTTGTACCATTTTAACCATGATTCCCTGGAATCAATCGATAGTCTCTGCAGTTGTAAACAGTCAGATGCCAATGACGTGAACACGAGATCTGTAAATGAAATTTTCTGTGAAACAAAAGGAAATAAAATCAAGCACTGTTGCTTTGAAAAAAAGGACAGCTAAAACAGGTATAGCCACCACTGTATTCCCAATTATTTCTATTAGTATATTTGTATATAGGAGCAGGAAAAGGACACAGGAACAGGACAAATGATCTATGGTAAACTAGTTTACTTAGGTTCATTAACAGGACCCTCTGAAACCTATTCCATCAACCTTTCTGTCTCAGCACGAATCCCTCAGCCCCTCCTGTTGAACAATTTCATAGACCGTACAGCACCCACACAGGCAATTCGGTTCAACTAATTTGTCCGGTGTTTATACTCCTTTTCAGCCTCCACTCATCCTATTCCTGTTCTTGTTAGATTGGGAATTTACACAACCACGTCCCTCCCTAAACTGTCTCCAGCTGTGGGCTTCCTGAGGCTGCTGGAGCTCTCTGCTCCAGGTTCAGGTCATCTCCAGCTCTCATCCATTCGTTTACTTCAGAAGCAAATGGCGCTTCACTTCAAGAGCCATTAATGGTTCAAGTTTGCATTTTAACTCACTCTTTACGTGTTTTGCATTTTTCTTCGCAACAAATTGTATTTTTTCCCCCTGTGTGTGTGTGTGTGTCAGTCCTGTGTCCATCCTACAGCAGCTCACTGGGGAGGCTTCACTTCCTCCAGGACTGGAGGGAGGAGAGGGGAGGCGCCCCTGGGCCGAGGTGCACCCTGGGGGCTGTAGTTCCCGGGCGCCGCCGCCTCCCGCGCTGACCGGGAGGTAACGCCTTCGCTTCCGGCGAGGACCACATTTCCCAGGGGGCTGCGCGGCGGGTTGGCGTCAGTTGAAGAGCAGCTGATGGTGGAGTAGCCGCGGGAGGAGGAATGGCCGAGGCCGTGCCCGACACCCGGAGGCTGTTGGCTAAGCCGCAGAACCTCAAGGACGCCTACGGGCCCCCGAGCAACTTCCTGGAGATCGACGTGAGCAACCCGCAGACGGTGGGGATCGGGCGGTACCGCTACACCACCTACGAGGTCCGGATAAAGGTGAGCGCGGGGCCGGGGCCGAGCGGGGCCGAGCCGGGGAGGGGAGAGGAGCTGTGGGCCGGAGTGCGGCCACACCAGGCTGACCCCCCCCCCCACACACACACACCACCACACCCGCTCGCAGGTGGAGGGACGCCTGTGTTGGCCTTTGGCCTCTGGCGCGCAGCTCCGGGGACGAAGTTACCAGTGAAAGGCGGCGATTAATTTTGCCGAGAGCTGAAGTCATCAAATGGCGTCTCCCACACTGTGCCGCCCGAGGCTGTGGTTGACACAGTCTTCTCATTACTTCCCCCTTCTTTCTACCTGTGGGACAAGTAGAAAGTATGAGTGCATTCGACTGAACCTGAAACCATGGGGCTGTGAGGGGAGGGGAGAGGGGGGAGAAGACGGCAGTCGTTTGCAGAAGTGCCAGGTTCAGAATTGTGTGCCTCCCCCATTAAACTGCAGCATTTTCCAAACATATATTTCTACCTGTGACCCCCCCAAACAAATTTGACTTCTAAATGGCTTAGTTTGCAGGAGAGCACGTTTCTTCCAGTGCACTGTACTTGCTTTCAGGCATGACTGCCGGAGTGGAGAAACGGCAAGTAATTTGGAAGGCATTCAAAGCTTGCATGGGAAGCTGGAATTAGCTTAAATATAGGGCTGGGTGATCCGATGGTTTGAATGTCAAGGAAAAAATGGTTGGGTGCTGCAAGTACCTTGAATTGGAAATAACATTCTACATTTTGTTTCCTGTGTTGAGCCACGCATTATTTGTACAGTGTACTATTTTTTAAAGGTGCAAACAATGAGAATGGGGAGATGGCCCTTATTTCAATGTAATAACTAGTAACTGGATTGCTAATGTTGACCTCTTGAAATAACAATGTACACTGAATAATTTGCAACATTGTTCCTGCGACTTGGAATAAATGCTCGAATCTTTCCTTGCAATACTGCGTTCACAGCGTAGCAGATGAGCACCCTGCTCCAAGGCCTTCATAAATGCTGATCTCCAATATTCTTCTAGGACAGAAATGACTTGTTTTTTTGTGGCTGCCTCCACTTGACTCTACACAGTGCTCTGATGTGAAGATTTTTGATGTTCACATCTGTACCATAAGTTTGGTGCAGTATATTATGTATTGTTGACAGTTAAATATTCTTGTTTCTTTATGCAGCCATTCTACTCTTCTGCAAAATACAAGTGGCAACCTTTTGTCAGGCAAAAATAACTTATTTTATGCTGTTCAAGCCTCAAAGTGTTAAATACTTTACAGTAATAATTGTCTTTTAATTGTCCATTTAGCTGGAGGATTAACATTAGGACAACTTTCAAATGTCTCTTTGGGGTATGTTTAGTGTCCCACCACCTGTCTTCCATTGGCTCCTTGTTTATACTGCAATGACCTACAATAGACCCCAGAGCTGCAAATTCAACATTTATACTGATAAGGACATTGGTTGCTTTATTGCACTGCTGATATCAGTATTTCCATTGATATGATTATTTTAAAATTATAAATAATCTTAAATTAAAATTTAAGAAATTTATAATTTTGAAAACCATTGATGATCAGAATAAATCAAATCTAAGTTTACTGCGAATAACCTGCACTTCATAATGAAGACCAGCCGATATACAGGTGTGGATTATAAAGTGTCAGCCTGGCTCATTCACTAGCACACTTGCTGCTGAGTTGGAAGGTTGTAGGTTGAAGTCTTATGTTGGGACTTTGAGCCCATAATATAGATTGATGCTAAGATGCTGGATGAGATATTACTGAGGTCTCATCTTTGTTCACATAGACTTTAAAGATCCTATGGCACTACCTGGGGGGAGAAACAAGTTCTTCTCAATGTCCTGACCAACATTCCTCCAGCTGAAATTCATTATCACTCAATTGCTGTTTGTGAGAGTTTGCTCTGTGAAAATTGGCAACTGCATTCATTTACAATTAGTAAATGCACTTCAGCGTAAAGCTTGTAAAGCATTTTGACATGCTTTGATATACAAAGATTATTATAGTCCTATCCTACAAACAGAGGTGGCCAAATGCTGAATTTCTTTCAAGGGGATTTGGATGACATGGTGGAACCATAAACCAGACCAGCAAACACCTTGGTAATGGTGAATTGTCAATATTGTAATGTAGAGTTTGAGATATTAGGGATGCTAATGATCACATTAACAGTACTTAAATTGGATCTAACTTTCCATGCTCTTTGAATCACATAATACCATTAAGATTAGCTTGCTGCACTTCTCCTCCTAAACCAATCTAACAATAATAATCCTTGCATTTGATATAGCGCTTTTCACGTCTTCTAGACATCCCAAAGCGCTTCACAGAATATACTGTAAAGTGAATTGACTGTATTTGTGGGTGAACGCGGCAGCCAATTGTGCACAGCAATGTCCCACAAACAGTCGTGGATTGAAAATAACCAATTTATTATTGTTTAATCTATTTGCAAATATTCCACTAAATCCACATATGTTCAAGTACGTTGGGGTTCATGGACCTGAACGAATTAACACTGGCTTAAACTGGGTTTAATAATTAATCCAAATCTTTGCATTTGATTTAGCACCTTATCAAACAACGTCTCAAAGAGCTTCACAACAACAAAATTACATTTATAGAGCGTCTTTCACATTGGGAGGATGTCCCAAAGCACTGAACAGTCAGGTATCGGGGCCCAAGCCTGGGGGAGGGGTGGTTTAGAGGTGAGGGAAGGCAGAGAGATGGGAGGGCGACCAAAGGCACGATCGAAGAGAAGGGTCTTGAGACCGGCCTTGAAGGAGGCAAGGGAGGAAGCGAGGCGAAGGGACCATGGGATGGGGTTCCAGAGTGTGGGGGCAGAGAGGCTGAAAGCCCGGCCACCGATGGTAGATCGGGAGGGAGAGATGGGAGCAGGCCGGAGCCTGCTGAACGGAGGGAGGGAGCGGGCAGATTGTTAGGGAGTCAGCAGGTCAGAGAGGTAGGAGGGGCAAGGCCATGGATGGCCTTAAAAGTGAGGATGAGGATCTTGAACTCGATCCTCTGGGGGATGGGGAGCCAGTGGAATCGGGCGAGGGTGGGAGTGATGGGGTCACAGAGCCTGGTGCGTGAGAGTACACGGGCTGCAGAGTTTTGGATGATCTGCAGTTTGTGAAGGGAAGAGTTGGGAAGGCCGATGAGGAGGGAGTTCCCGTAGTCGAGCCTTGATGTGACGAATGTGTGGGTGAGGGTTTTGGCAGCCTGAGGGGTGAGGGAGTGGCGGAGTCTGGCAATGTTGCGGAGGTGGTGGTAGGCAGTGCCGGTCATGGCGCGGATGTGGGGGAGAAAGGAAGGGTCAAGCAAGACACCCTGGTTCCTGACTGGCTTAGTGAGGTTGAGTGTGCGGCCATGGAGGCTGATGCTGCCATCGCCCAAGAGTAGATTGACTATATTTTGTGGGTAAAATGTGTCAGCCAGTTTGCGCATAGCAATGTCCTACAAACAGCCATGGATTGAGTGACCAATTTTATTTGGGGGATTGTTGGCCAGGATACCAGGATAATCGTCCTTCTATTTAGAATAATGCCATGAGATTTTTAACATCCACCTGAACAGGCATGCGGTACCTCGGTTTAATGTCTCATCTGAAAGGCGGCACCTTCGACAATGAAAAACACCCCAGTATTGCTTTGGAATATCATCTTAGACGTCTGATTTGAAGTCCTGACGTGGGGCTTGAACCCACAACCATCTGAGCCAGGCTGACCCCGGTGGTTCATAGTATGATACTGAGACATACAGAGAAGGCAGATTTTGCGTACAGATGTTGGGTTGTCTTTCCTATGCTTATAAGATTAACAAAGTGCTGTACATCTTGCAAGAGAAAAAAATGAAAATTTTGAATATGCAGCTCTGCATGTTTGCAGAAGGCTGCTTTTGGAGTCCTGTAGCTTATTGGTTAGAGCATTTGCCTTGCAAGTAAGAGGACCTGGGTTTGATTCCTGGGCAGAGCGAAATGTTGAGCAAGTTTCCTTGTTCCACATACCTGTTTACCTAGCAGTAAGCAGGAACCTGGTTGTTAGTCGATTGGCAGATCCTTTTTCCGGGGATAATATTCCCTATAAATAATTTGGTCACTCAATCCACGACTGTTTGTGGGACACTGCTATCCGCAATTGGCTGCCACTTTTCGTCCACAAAATATACTGTCAATTCACTTCACAGTATATTCTGTGAAGCACTTTAAGACGGCTTGAAGACGTGATAAGGCGCTATGTCAACTGCAAGGATTATTATGTAATCCATGCTTTTGCTCTATGTCAAACAAGCTTCAATGATCTACTGTGCAAAAGAGGGTTGTTAATAGTAGTCTTGGCTGTCTGACGAAAACAACAACAAACATTCGCATACTGCATTTCACGTCGGGAGAATGTCCCAAGGTGTTGGCAATAATATGACATCTCTAAAAGATTCTTTTTCAAAACTGTCCACATAGACAATATTCATTTGGCATCTAGAAGCTTCTTAAGTTGACATGTAATGTTAATTGAGAAATCTGACCATATGCTGTACAACCTCAAACTTTAATTCATGATGAATAGTTATGTTTGGAATTTGCATACTTAATCTGCTGCAAAAATCTTGCTGCCTACAACCAAGGCCACCTCTTGATCTCATTATCGCCCAAGGGCTTGATGTTTCTGAGCTCTCCATGGACAAGGCTGTCTTTGACCATTTCCTCATCTCTCCTCCCAAATCCCCTTTCCTCTGCCAAACTCTCCACTATCTCCTACTCCTGGAAAAATCTTCCTTGAGTCCCTGACAAATGCTTTTTTTTATCCTTGTATCATCTCTCACTCCTGCGTTGCACTCGGAATGATCTCAGTGCAGCCATCAAGCTTCTAAATAGCCATCTCTCCTTGACCTTCAACTCGCTTGCCCCCCTGAAATTTGGACCATCTTCCCTGCCATTTCCACTCCCTTAAATCCCAACTCTGTGCACTTGGATACAGTTGGTACAAGTTCAGGGTTCACTGTTGCATCTGCCTCAAACACCTTCAAGCTCATCGCTTCTCCCTCACAGAAGCCCAAACTCTGTTTTACTCCCAAGGCTATTGTGGAAGCCAAAAACAACCGCAAGGTCCGCTCTGTTTTCCTCCACACATTGTCTCCTCTGCACCCCCACCCTGCACCGCAATCCTCACCTCAAATACCAAAAATATCTGCTTGGCTGCATACTTTTTCACCCTCCTGACTCCTACTCCTTTTTCCCTCGGCTTCTATAACCCCCATATCTTTTGCTGCTGCCTCTATCACTACCCTCACACTACACTCCTTTGCCCCATTTCTTTCTTGTCACTCACAACTATCTTTTTAAGTTCAATATTAAAAAAATAAGCTATGCAATACTGTTAAGGTTCCATACACCAGCTAATATATAAACAATATTGCATATCTTAATTTAATATTGAATATATAAAAGTGTCTAAACATTCCCATGAGAAGAACACTTAAGACTTTCTGTTCCTACTTGAATTTTAAATGTGTGTAGGTATATTTTACTGATCACACACAAGTCTAAATATCTTTGCTGCAAACATCAAGTAATGAGATTATTTTGCTCTGAAAGCTTTTCTGAGCATTTTCAAAAACTGTACATTGTCCGCTCTGAACAATCTAGATCAGTAAAAATCATTTGGCTCTTTGCCTGCATACTAGACTGATACATAAGAGCAGTGTAAAAACCTGTAATAAGCATCTATACTTGACTGTGCTTTGTTTCTAATGGCAGTGTGCTTTTAAGAGATTTTGAAGAAACAGGCATGATAGAGGTTTTTAAGTGCATGTCTCTGAGTTGCTGGAAAACAAATGTACTGAAAGCATTCACTTCAGAGTTGCTTAAAAGCATTCTGAGAAGGAGAAGAAATGCTCTATCTGAAGTATAAATGTTGTGTACAATCCGATTTGAGGTCAACGTTAAGTAATTCTGTTGAGGTATACAGCAGTACGTTAGAGTGTGCTCTGCTCACTGGACTAACCAGCTTTACCCTTCAAGCTCCAGACCATCCAGAGCTCTACAGCCCAATTCCTCTTTCACACCAGGCTCTGCAAGCCCAATGCTGCCATCATCACCTGGCTCTACTTGCTCCCTATTTCTCAGTGGATTGACTTTGTAAGCTCCTGGATCTTTGATGGCCTTGCTCCATCCTATCGCTGTGGCCTCCTGCAACCCCACCTCTGGCCTCCTGTCGAATTGCATACCATGATTGTAATTCTAGTTCAACTGCATATATAGAACCCTTCCCTCGAACTTTCCTATCTTTCCTTAATAACCCGTGTGCTTGCGAATTGTATTTATTCTGTGTCTTATTTTGACATGTCTCCGGTTCTTACCACATGTTCCAGGCAGAGGGCGAAACCTTGGGCAAGTTTTCTTACTCCACACGCCTAATAATAATCCCTCCAAAACCCCAAAAACAATAATAAATTGGTCATTTTCAATCTACGACTGTTTGTGGGACATTGCTGTGCGCAATTGGCTGCCGCGTTCACCCACAAATATACAGTCAATTCACTTTACAGTGTACTCTGTGAAGCGCTTTGGGACGTCCTCCCGACGTGAAAAGCGCTATATCAAATGCAAGGATTATTATGCTTCTAGCATTTTTGTACATGCACCTATTTGTGCTCTTTGCCCTTTATCTTTTGGTTGTTTGTCATCTAATGGAAAGGAGGGGAGTTGCTTCCTGACAAACGGGGCTATTTCTCAACAGCACAGAATCTGCTCTTATATACTTTGGGTGGGGAAAAATAAATTGAAAAGCTGCCAGACATATTGGATCACTAAACTGAAGTTTGAAAATGGCAGGTTCAGTAAGATTATTACCTGGTTCTACAAATTCAGAACACAATGAATATTGTATTCTCAGATCACATTTTGCCCCTTCCTTCTCCCACCCCCATCCTCCTGGACAGGTAGTGAATGAGAGAGAGGTATCAGAAGTTCAAAAGGGAAATTTTAAAGGCAAATTAGTGTGGATTATCCTCTCCAGTCAAATGCTGTACCTGTAACCATGATATGTTCTACAGATTAACTTCATAGACTTCCGTGCCCACAGGTAAATGCTCTGAGTAGGCTCTTTTGACTAGGTTGATCTTTACACTTTTAAGTTAAATAGAAGCTAATCTCTTGTAATTTGAGACAGGGTATTTAAAATGCAATGCCTCATCTGAAAGCTGTGTTGTAAAGGTTTTGTTCTGTGTATTTAAGGTGTACAAAGACTCAAAGGTGAAGAGGGGGAAAGTTCAGGTGAAATTGAAGCTAGCTACGAGGTGAAATTAGAGAGTTGTAATCCAGAATCCAATTTGTTCAAATTAACTGCTTGTCTTAAGTGAGGTTTCTTTTTGTGGAAAGAAAGGTGTTCAGTACAAGAATCCATGAAGTGAAAGCCCTCAGTTTCATCTGATGTTCAGACAAATAGCAGTCCTTTTCAGATTTTTATGGATTATTTTAAATTCTCAGGACATTTTGAAATGGTCTCTGTCTTGACTTGGGGAAGGGAAAGAATGAAAGCTCATTTGAAATTTTGACTAAATTGAACTGAATGTTGTATAAAGATTTTTTTCAGTCAATTCAAAAATAATGCATTTTTGATGTATGTTTGTCCAACAACCCTTTGTCAAAATTGCAGAATTCCTTGATTTATATATTAACTATTTTTAAATTCTTTTCAGACCAATTTGCCAATATTCAAGCTGAAGGAATCTTCAGTCAGGAGAAGATACAGTGACTTTGAATGGCTGAGAAATGAACTGGAAAGGGAAAGCAAGGTAAAGCCAGTGGAGGAAAACAACACTTTTATTCTTGTTTGTACTTGTGAGCTGCAGTTATAATTCTAATTCCATCCATTTTTTTTTCTATTTCTAATTTTGTATTACTGAAAGAGGGGAAAGTGAACTTATCTATTGTGTAGGGGCCTGGGGCTGCGGGAAGGCCCCATGGGCTTGTGCATTCCTCTAATATCCCAGACACTGGCTAGCTGTACTCCTTGATCATAACTTAATTACAATACAATTTATATTACATTTTAGCACCTTTTACATTGTGAGACAACATAGAAGTAAGTCATAGTTGGACTGCAGAATAACTTGGTTTGATGGAAGTTTATAATTTTTCCCTTCACATTCTTAAAAACTGCACTTTTTTTGCAGGAAGAAGGCTTGCTCTCAGATTACTAAAATTGATCTTTTAATGCATAAGGACTTGCTAATATAGATTTGTATGTCTGGTTTTCTCCTAGGTTGTGGTGCCAGCATTGCCTGGCAAAGCAATATTTCGCCAGCTGCCTTTTCGAGGAGATGATGGGATCTTCGATGATTCTTTTATAGAAGAACGAAAGCAAGGGCTTGAACAGTTTATTAACAAGTAAGAAAAGGCTCCGTTTCCTACACCCTCTGAATGTTTCAAAAAGCAAAATGCTACATACTTGGCATTTAAAGAGCTCATTACTGTTGCAAAATTGTATATTCTATTATGAATGAGTTTTGTTTTCATAATTGGTATAAAAACGAAAGTGTTTTTTAAATTCCACAAAGTTGTGCATAGTTTCAAAAATGAAAATCCTTGATGTGTTGTTTTGATCGTACAAGATAACATAATTTTTTTTAATTGTGATTACTTTTGAGAATGATTCCATTACGAGGCTGAGGGCATGGAGGAGTCTGGCTGAGTTTTTAATTTTGTTGTGTTTTCCATATATAATTTATGTAAATTGCCATTAAAATTGTGTTCTTTTTTAAAAAAAGAACGGTCTTCTGTTATTTTTCCACTCACGTACTTTATTTTTGGTCTAAGGTGGTCTTCGTTTAAAGTGAACAATAAAAGTTACACCTGCAATTATTTCTGATTACTGATGTTACCATCTGTTTCATGTGTGAATGTGGCAAGCTCTAGTTTTGAATCATCTTAAATTGAGCTCTGAGTGGAAAGCATGTTCATTCAGACATGTATAGAGCATTGTAAAACAAATGCTGCGAATCCTTAATGTTCCCTCATACCAAAAATGCTCAAAGCTGCTGTTAAGCTTAAAGGATTTTGAGCTTTCAGCAAACTCGTGTATCTCTTTTCCACTTTCTCCTCTCCTTTCTCTCTGTCATCCTCATCATTGGAAGGAGTTCTAACTTTTCAACATAATTTGTTGCTGATTTAAATGAAATCTGGGATTTTTACCAGTCTACATTTATATAATAATAATCCTTGCATTTGATATAGCGCTTTTCACGTCGTGAGGACGTCCCAAAGCGCTTCACAGAACACACTGTAAAGTGAATTGACTGTATATTTGTGGGCGAACGCGGCAGCCAATTGCGCACAGCAATGTCCCACAAACAGTCGTAGATTGAAAATGACCAATTTATTATTGCTTTTAGAGGGATTATTATTAGGCGTGTGGAGTAAGGAAACTTGCCCAAGGTTTTGCCCTGCCTGGAATTGAACTCTGGTCTCTCGCTTGCAAAGCGAGTGCTCTAACCACTGAGCTACAGGACTCTTCTATATTTCTATACCATCTCCTAATGTATAAATAATTCAAAGGACTCTGCTAATTTGTTCAAACATTTGATAGGTGACGAGCATAGGATATATGTGAATTGAAAATGTGCTTTATTGTCAGTCTATAGCAAAAGGAAGAGAAAATGAAACATTGCTTCAGGTTAAAAGCTGAATGTCCAGGTCTGGAACAAAATGTTTAATAGGTCTTAAGGGAAAATAGCAAAATGTAGAATAGTTCTTCTGAGTTTAAATCCCAGGAGAAATTCTATTTGACTCAATTGATAGGATTTAGATCTTTTCCTTATGTTGGTGACTGCCTTACCCTGGTATTTATCTGGAATTAACTATTTTTATTCTGGCTATACTGGTTCCCTGTCTCCCAGCAGATTAAAATTAAAGTCCACTTCTCTGTATTTCCCTATCTCTGCAATCTCTTGTGATCCTACTCCCTCCAACTCTGGATTGCTTCATTCCCATCCTACCATTGGCAAGAGCTTTCACTCACATTTTTTTCCAGCCCTCTGGATCTCTTAATATTCATCTGTTTTGGCCCTTCCATCTCTGCTTTCAAGTCCTGCTCAAAAGTCTGCATCTTAGACTATGCCTTCAGCCAGCTTAACCACTTGCAGATCCTGCTCAGCCTTTGTAAGGCACTTCAACGTGTTCCCCTAACATGAAAGGTGTTATGTGTATAAATTATTGCTTAGAAAATTATCAACTAATGCATAACTGAGCCTGCACCAGTTGAACAGTGGCCCTGTATTCTATTCAAATTTTTTAATATATAACACTATGGCAACATTTTAATTTGAATATTGTTCATTTTTCAGAGTTGCTGGGCACCCTTTGGCACAGAATGAGCGCTGTCTGCATATGTTTCTTCAAGAGGAAACAATAGACAAAAACTACACACCAGCAAAAGTGAAGCTTGCATAAACAGTGTAAATGGACTATAACGCTGATCTGTCCAAAAAAAAAAATCCTTCCATGCCAACTGAGACTTCTGGGTTTTCGTTAATCCTCAGAATACCTTTCTGCCTGCTGATGTTTCTGAATAATTAACAGAATTTCATCTCCGGTGCAGATCACAGGCGAGAGAGACAGGCCTACGTTCAGGGTTAGGAGCAGCTTCTGTAGTTTTGACTTTGTGTTAGAATGTTTGCTTCATGTTGATTCTGAAGGCTTACATTTTGAGCAAAAGGAAGTCGTACACTAATGTGCTCTTTCTAGTTTATACACTATTTTCTTTTGGCAGAAATTACTGCTGCCAGATGGACCTGTGGTTATAAATAAGCACTTCTGACCATTGTATCTATTACTGCTGTTATGAAAGAGTGGTATTTTTTAGAATGCATGCTTTGTAAAGTGTAGTACAAGAATCTAGCTGAGATTATCCAGACTTGGCAAGATGTTTGGTCTGATTTTTCAAGAGTGCATGGTATACAGGCAACCGAACACAATCGCATAGCATTTATGGAATATCTATGGTAAAGCAGTCTGATTAACTTTTCTCTCTTATGTTTTGGACTGAGTAGGAAAATTCTGTTACTTCTATATTCTTCCATCTTTAAGTTCCCAGCCATAACATATATTTGTAGCTATGGTCACTTGTCTAACTAAAAGATGGACATTTGGTCAAAAGTAACACCTGTTTAAAGAAATTTGTTTAGTATATTTTTTTCTCTCCATATTCTTCAGCGAGCTTTTGTACTAAACCCTTCTGCACCTGTTTATCGCACTTTGTTCAATTTAAACTTTTTTGCCTGTAAAAGTTATGTTTTCAAATAAAGTTGACACCTTGAATAACTTTCCAGATGTACCTCAATTGTTTGGGGTTTTTTCCAAGTACTGTACTTTACATAATGTAAAACTGACCACCTTATCTGCAAGGATGAGCCATAATTTCTTGCAGCTCAATATGGATGCGATGGAAGTATTCCTCTTTGGCTCCTGTCAATGTTGTCTTGCTTCTGACTCTGACCTCAACCTCCCATGTTTTTTTTCTCTCAAAATTAGCAAACCAGTGTAACACCTTGACACCTGGTTCAATCCTGAGCTTTCCATTCTTGCATTTGATCCCTAATGAAGACTGTTTACTTCACCCCTGCCACTTCACCTACCACTGCTCCTATCTCTCATGAAATGCAGCCAAACCCTTATTCATATCTTTACCTCCCATTAAGACTTTTCATGTGCACTTTTCACTGGTAGGTATCCTTAACTCCAACTGATCCCAAATTCTGCTGCCTGCGTCCTCCCGCACACCAAACTCTGTATGGCCATCACCTCAATCCTTGTCAGGTTCCACTGTCTCCCACCTCCCAGTAGATTGATTTCAAGGTCTTCACCCATCATATGAATCCCTTCATGCCCTACCACTTCCCTATATCTCTGATCTACCACACTCTGCTTGACTTTCTGTGGGGGTGTGGGGAAGCAGGGTGTCCTTGGATCCTAGCTGGTTTCAAGCTGACATGCTTATTAGTAGAATATCCTTAGTTTGTCCACTCTGCTTGACTAACTTGAGATTGCTGTATGTTCCCTGCACTCTCTGCCATCTTATGTGCCTGAGCCTTTGGATACTATGTCCCTAACCTCTGATATTCTTTCCCTTCCCGATCTATCTCTTTAACTCCCACATTAAAACCTACCTCTTTGATTGTGCCTATAGTAAACTCCCTCTTCCCCCTCTTTGCTCAGTGTCTGACACTGCCTTTTGTAAAGATGTTATTTTACGTTGTTATTGTAGTAGGAAATTCCAGAGGTCACTCATGGTGACGGGAGACGCACAGCAAACTGAGCAGAGTGAGCAACAGAGTGGGATAAGAAGAGATCAGAGAGAGGTAGGTGCTAAGGTGTGAAGGGTTTTATATTCAGAGCGGTTTTAGCTGCACTTTCTGGAATTCCATCTAGAGTCCCTCTGACTCCCTCCCTTCCTCCCCAGCTTTATCGCCTGCCTTAAGACCTATATTTTAGTCACCTTTACCCATACCAACCCTCCTCAGCTCTCCACACGCACATATGAGCTGTCTGAAGCATATCTTCCCGATGTGAAAAGTACTATATAGAATGTAATTTTTAAAAAAATTCTGTATTAACATCAAATTATAAACAACAGAAATGTGACGAAGGAAATAGTTTGTTTTGGAGAGTCATTTTCCTGTTCTTAGTTTCAATAATTTAATGACAAGCACTAATAACTTCTGAACATTCATATTTAATTGTATAATTATACTCTATTCCAAATGAATTACAAGAGTTCTGTTTTTTTTTGACAACTGAGTTATGTTTGATCTTGAAACAGAACAGCTTCACCGTTCTGCAAGATGTCCAAGTGCTGATTTCCTCAGTGCTAAGTTTAAAGTCATTTCTCTCCATTCCTCCTGATTGAAAGATGATTTTTGTTGTCCGTATCACAGACGCCTGTTTTTCCAGAGTTCAAAATAGCAACTCCGGAAGGTTGCAATTGTTCCTGATAATTGAGCCAAATCCCTCAAGGAAAGGCACTTTTAAGGAGTCTGTGTTTTTCCCACAATATTACCTCTATCTGGAATGCCAAGTCTTTCATCTTGTCTGAGAATTGCAGGGTTGACCTTGAGATTTGAGGATCTGGCTGTTGCACCTTTGTGCATGTGGTTCACCCAGCGAGAATCAGGCTGTCATCCCCTTTGGTTTCAGCACTTCGCCACTCACCAGCGAACAGCTGGCTCGATCCTCCGTTTCACACTTCACATTTGGTTTGTCTAATTACACACCCAGTGTGAGCATACACCCATTTTTGTAAAGCATCTTTGAGATGTTAAAAAGGGAAATTAAAAGTACATACTAACAATTTCAGGGGTAAGTATACTGCAGAACACAACCACTATAATATAACTGCTTTTTATATATAGACTAAGATACAGTTGTTTTCGTATGGCATAGAGATTGTGAATGCAGAGACACAAACTGCCCCTACTTACAGCTCCAGCATCTTTCCTCAATGCCACCTTGTGATTCAGCATTTGAAATGTTCTGTCTGCAACATCTTAAGTTTTCAGGTCATGAAAGCATCCATAGTTGTCAATGTTATTCTAAAAGCCAGATCCAGGGAGACCTGAGACAAGTCACCCATTACCTGACACTGACTTGAGCATTCAACACTGGCAACAGAGGAAAAAGCCTCTCTGTCTCTTCCCCTAACTATTTTTTTACGAGACATGCCATGAGTGCCATCCTTTAAGTGAATTGTAAAAGTTCATGATTGTTTAGAAATCTTGTTTTGTTTTTCAAAGACAGGCAAGCTTCAGGGGCTAAATGGAGAGTGCTATAGAGAAACAAACAGCCCCTGTTCACTTTGTAAGTGTGATATATAAAACAAACACATTTTGACGGTCATAGTTACGAGTCCTGTTAGTTCAGCAAGTACAATGCACGAGCTTATGACAGTGCCACTTCTAGTATGATAAAGTTGGTTATCTGGATGAAAATTTTGCAGTTAAATATCACTAGATTTGTACATGTCTGACAATAGTCTTGTGATAGGGACATTTCCGATGGTTTTCTTGAAGAAGACTTCTTCAATAGTAGAGGGATTCACAGAGCGTAAAGCTGGTAGAAGTAAAAGTAATTTTCCAAAACGGCACGGCTGCGTTGGGTACCTGGTGTGCACAGAACAGAGATTTGTTAGTGTTCTCAACAGGTTACTGAATACTTTTAATCTGTACCTTTCTACATGTCAACACAAAGCAGACATATATGGGAATGCTAATAAATGTGTGGGCAATTCGGAATGGCAGTGAGTCAATGTGGGTATCCCCATGTACTCTTCTGCTATGGAACAGAGTAGTAAAACACAGGTTTGGGCCCAAGATCCTTCTCTGGGAACTACCAAATCTCAGCCACTATAGAGATGCTAGCCAGATGCACTTTGGCTCCAAGGTACATTCGGATCACTCATGTGCATCTCTTAAGTGTCTAGAGGATTAGATACCAGATACCTGTCCACCCTCTCACAGCAGGTTAAGTTGGGTAGTTTGAAAGATTAAAAGAGACAAAAAAAATTGAAACAGGATTAATTTGATTGATTTAATTGATTAATTTAAATTGATTAAATTGAAACAGGGCTTCTAAATTTTTCAAATAGCATTAATATTTCCTTATCTGTGCCTGAATCTGTATATTTCAAATATTTAGATAATATACTGGCATTGGAAAGCTAAAATATGGTTTTAAAATATTGTTTACTTTTAAATGATTCTGAACAAGGTGAGAGAATATTAGTACTGTACTATACAACAAAATACTTTTTTTCACTTTGTGCATTAATGTTTAAGTGCTCCCCATCAATATTCCATGGGATAAATGTACAGTTTGAGATCCAACAGTTTTGTTGAAAAACACTCATGGGGAAAGCAGCACTGTAAATGATGCCTTGATGAGATTTAAAGTGCAGTTGTTGTCCTGCCCTAATTTAATCATGCTGACATGTCTTAACATTTAAGGCACTATATCAAATGCACAGATTGTTATCCTCATCGAGTCGATCAACAATTCACTGGATAAGGATAAATGTAACAGAACTATGTTCCTTTCCCGTAAAAGTATATATACTTTTGTCAATATACAATATATATGCTATATTATATATCTGTCAAATCCAAGATTATAATATAAATTATGGCAGATGAATATTATATCAACAGAATAACTAAGGAGATTGCACTACAGTCTTGAAATAGTGTCCATGTCGGAAAGGAATGTTGATCAAGACACTGGGAGAAACTCCCTTGCTCTTTGAACAATATTGTGGGTGTTTTAATGTGCACCTGAGCAGGCAGATAAGACTTCAGTTTAACTTTTTATCTTATTACAAGTGTCATCTTGGCTCAGTTGGTGGCATTGTTGCTTTGGGGCCAGATGGCTGCAGGTTCAAGTCCCACATCACAGATTTTGAGCACATGGTCTATTCCACTGGGAAGTGCTGAGGTCCTATCTGCCTATTTAAGTGGACCTTAAAGAACCTAAAGAGCACTAAAGAATGTTATTCAAAAAGAACAAGAAAGTTTTCCCCAGTACCCTAGCCAATGTATTCTCTAGTTAATATTGGTCATTCACCTCTTGGCTGTTTGTGGTATACTGGTGTGAGCAAATATGCTGCCTTATCCACCTATTAAATACACAATCACTGTTCCAACAATCGTTGTGAAGTGTTTTAAGGTTCTATAACAAATGCAAGGATTATTATTTATGTCATGTAATAAGAATAATTCCTGTGTTTAGTATAATTTATATAAATGCTGAAGTGTCTCAAAGTGCTTCACAGATAATTTGTGCAGTGACTATACTTGCAAACTAGATGGAGGAACTATAAATCAACAGCCAACATGCTCTGTGTGGTGATAATCATGGTGGAGAGTTGGTGACATTGATGTCTTCAAGTGATATTATTATTATCTACCCACGATTTACTGAAAAATAAGGTTACTATAAATGTTTAAGGATTATGGCCCTAATTTCCATGTTTAGGTGGGATGCAGGGAAACCTCAGCTTGGTTTGGATACTCATGGTGATGGGATTCCACAGGTGTCAGACACCAGGCTGACTCCCCCCAAAAAAATCATTCACTACAGTGACTCTCGTTGCAGACATCTGCATGAATCTGTGGCAAAGAAGAAAGGTGTTGTACATTTACAACCTCATTGACCTGTGCCCACCCCCCCACCGCCCCCCCCTCCACCCCTGTACCTGGTGTGGATGTAGCTGTTGAGAGTGAGCTGAGCCTCGTCCTGCAGAGCTGCGATGGCCCCGGAGTTACGGAAATTCCTCAGCTCCGAGCCGCTGTGAGTGGGAACTGGGAACAAAAGAGGGATCCTGTCACTCACTGGAAACAACACAGTTTGGCTCGAAGAAAAAACACGTCGCGGTTGTTGATTTCTAAAGGGCCAGTTATTTTGAATGAGGAACAGAGGCGATTGCGCTATGACAACCCGAAGCAGCCTTTGTAAACCTCAAACTGTAAAAAAAAAAGTAACACTGCGTGTGCCCATACTAATGCCACTCAGTATAAATCAGCATCAGTTTCCCATACAGTAGTGCTAAACTGCTCCTCTACCTTTATATCACGACTTATAAACTCCAATTTGTCAATCTGTCAGTTCGCACCAGGTTTGTTTTTGGCCATTGTATTTTGTCGTGTATTTTTTTTTTCTCTCTCTGCGGAGAAAATGTATTCTAACCCCCTCCCACACTGCACGGGTTTTAGGCTGGAGCCAAAGGAACTAAACCTTTAACGGTGACCTGTGCTGGTGTGTAAATGACTGAAAGACTTCTCTGACTCGCACCCAGAGTCGGGTTGTGAATGCTCGGCGGCGCACTCGCTCCCGATGTTCCCCCATCCTAACCATAACATCCCCAAAGCAGATCCCGATCCCATTCCCATAGCTCCCGCGAACTAGTTTTGACCATTAACATCGGCGCTGCGTGTGGTTTTACAATGAGAGTGGCCGCCTGATCGCTGTACAGAGCCACTCGGTTACACAATAATAATAATAATCCTTGCATTTGATATAGTGCTTTTCACGTCGGGAGGTCGTCCCAAAGCGCTTCACAGAACACACTGTAAAGTGAATTGACTGTATATTTGTGGGAGAACGCGGCAGCCAATTGCACACAGCAATGTCCCACAAACAGTCGTAGATTGAAAATGACCAATTTATTATTGTTTGGGGTTTTTGGAGGGATTATTATTAGGCGAGTGCTCTAACCACTGAGCTACAGGACTCCCGATGTTCCCAATCCTAACGATAACATCCCCAAAGCAGATCCCTGGTGCCAAAGGTCCCGATCCCATTCCAAACTGCTCGGTTAAGGTCGCGGGTGTGGAGCTCGAGTTGTTCTGCAAGTGGCCACTCACCAGCTTTAAAAGTCACGATGCATTTCAAACAGGCAAATTCGGTGGCGTCAACTCGGAGCTGTCGGAATCGCGCCACCACCTCCTGTAAAGCGTGGATTTCCGCAACGATTTTGCTCAGTTTTTGTGAATCGGTGTTATCACTGTTCATTCCTTTAAGAGAAAAAACAGACAGAAATGCATCGATCGTTGGTCAGAAAGCGAAGTTGCAAATATCTCTGCCACCCTTGCTTTGTATTTTCTTTTTTAAAAAAAACAGGTTATTCCCATGAGAATGATTAATTTCTTTCCAAGTGTTAACATGGTCCATCCTGATACCTGACCTGTGTAAATAATAATAATCCTTGCATTTGATATAGCGGCTTCGAGACGTCTCAAAGCGCTTCAGAGAATACACTATAAAGTGAATTGACTGGTGTATTTCGTGGGCAAAACCAGCAGCCCATTGCACACACGGTGTCCCACAACCAGCAGTGAAGTGAGTGGCCAATTTTGTTTTGGTGTAACAGAATAATCTTCAATTCAGGAATACTGATAAACCTTAGAATCTTAGAATCTCTTAAAGAGGAAGTATGAGCCCCATCCTGAGTCCCAGTTCTTAAATTTAAAAAAACAGATCACATAAACTACAATTTGGCTTTTTACCATCCTGCTATAAATTAGCTGAGCCCAAACACCCCAGGGATGGAGAAGTTATATTGTCCTCAGAGCTGCTTGGCTGGAGAGGAGAAAGGTATAGAGGGTCCCTGCAACTGATCGTGGTCTGTTTTATTATTATTATTCTGTTACACTCTGTAAAATGCCCATTTGTGACTATCCAGTGATTGAAGAATTACTACGCTGCACACTGGAATTGTCCGGTTTCAGTCACGATGAATGGCCGGCCATTTGTTGCAGAGACTTCTCAAAGCGCTTAATAATAATACTTACATTTGATATAGTGCTTTATCACGTCATTGAGACGTCACAAAACACCTCATGGAATATATTGTAAAGTGAATTGACTGTATTTTGTGAGTGAAATGCAGCAGCCAATTGTGCAGAACAATGTCCCACAAACATTGAGTGATCAATTTTGTTTGAGGGATTATTACCCTGGAAAGTGATCTACCAATTGACTAACAACCAGGTTCCTACTTATTGCCAGGTAAACAGAGGCATGCAGAGTAATGAAATTGCCTAAGGTTTCGCCTTGCCCAGGAATCAAACCCGAGTCCTCTTGCTTGCGAGGTGAGTGCAATAACCACTACACTATGGGACTCCACTTCACAATACATACTGTAAAGTGGATTGACTATATTTTGTGGGTTAATGCAGCATCTGGTTTCTGCGCACAACGACATCGCACAAACAGCCATGGAGTGAGAGTGAGGTAGGAGAGAACATTGAACAGCGTACACATTAAAAGGAAGGTCTGCACATTTTACTTTATCATTATCAAAATAAGATATTGACAGGAGAACACTGAAGTATTCATAACTGCTGATTAACTGCTGAATATCTAGCCCTTCAGTAAAAGCATATTTGGGAGATTTATACTACATTTACAATTTATGCTACAGTTTTACATTTGCAAAATGCAGACATCTGTATCTATGTGTATGCTCCTTTTACATCTCCTCTCACTGGTACCAAATGAGAATTACTTTTAAATGTTATTGAAGAGGAAGAAGTGTCACCAGCTCTCCAATGACATGACAAACCACTGGACTAGATTGAATCCTTGAAGTTGAAATGTCGACTTTGCATAGGCTGTTTTCTGGCTGCAGTTATACCATAGGAATGCCGATCCACGAGATCCTGAAAATACTGAACTTCAGACACCTGTTTTTGCCAACTGCTTTCCAAATCCAGCCAATGACAACCCTCAGTTAGTCCATTTGGCACATAAACTGCATTAAAAATCTACACATTCTGTGCAGTAATAATAAACCTTGCATTTGGTATAGTGCCTTATCATATTGGAAGGACGTCTCAAAGCGCTTCACAGGATTTACTGTGAAATAAAGTTGCTGTTTATTGTTGGCAAACGTGGCAGCACAATTGCGCACTACAATGTCCCACAAATAACCATGAAATGAGTGACCAATTTTATTTGGCGGATTGTTGTCCAGCACACTAGGAGAAACTCCCTTCTCTTTTTGAATAGTGCCATGGGATATTTCATATGCACCAAAAGAGGCAGATAGGACCTCAGTTTAATGTCTCATCTGAAGGACAGCACCTCTGACAGTGCTGCATTGGAGTGTCATCTTAGACTGGATGAGTTCAAGTCCTGAAATGGGATTTGAATCCACAATCTTCTGATTCAGAGGCGAGAATGCTATCACTGAGCCAAGCTGACAGTATAACTGCAACAGCAATGTAACCTGTTAATACTATCCAGGAGGTTGGTAAGGATTTGAAAAAAGCACTACACAACCTTATTTGAACAATATCACAGTCTATAATTAATCTGAGATCAATACTGATCATAGCGAATATTGTATATAAATTGCATAGATAACCACTTATTTATCATAATTTGTAATATAAAATAGCTCAACAAATTGGCAAAGTAGATCCCAACAGAGATCCTTCTCTTTTAATGAATTGTCCTGTCAGGGCTCAGTACTCAAGGACATATCTTATATTGTTTGTTAAGGTATGATTAGAAACTATAATTTGCATTTGAAAAATATACTAGTGTAATCTTGCAGAAAAGTGGTAAATATTTGTTTTGTTGGTTGACGTGGTATTGTACCTTAAATTATACCAATATTACATTGCACTGTTTATTTCACCATTAGGTGTCACTCCATTACAGACTACTGTTGGACATACCCTTGATTGAACCTTGAGATAAGGTTGATCTTGATTCAGGGGGGCTGTAGTTACTTACTTTATTGGTTCCTTTAAATACTTTTTCAAGGAAATTGAGCATGCAGAGAACCCTGACGTCATTAGTGGAACATAATATAATCAGCCTGGCTCAAATGGTAGCACTTTTGCCTCTGAGTCGGAATGTTGTGTGTTCAAGCCCCACTTGAGGATTTTGAACTCGCTGTCTTCACTAACACTCTAATATAAAGTGCTGGGGTGTACCTTTGTTGGAGGTGTCATATGAGACATTAAACCACTATCCTGGCTGCCTATTCCAAAGTCTTTACGTTGAACCTGTGAAGCATTTTTGAGATGTGCTATCAACACGAAAGGCCTATTTCAAATGCAAGGATTATTATTAATATGTACATAGTGTGGAGTTCTTGGAGTCACCAATTAGCCTAAAACATATATCTAGAACTGGGATGAAGTCTGATGAGTACAATATATGTATATATATTCATACACAGCATACTATATAGAGATATAATGGAACAATTCTGGAACAGAAAAGTGTCTGGCATATTTTCATTAACTGACAAGTAGACACTTACTATTTCTCATGTAAATAGTTGTATCTAAAATAATAATAATGCTTGTATTTGAAACAAAATAAAGATTAAACATGTGTTGAATTATAATTGAAGTGTTATTTGGCTAAACACCTTAAATAGATTTAATTTGTTTATTGTAATTGTTGGATTTTAAAAATGGTCCTGTAACTCACCAGATACAGCCAACAGAGTACTGGAATCAATTGGAATGGCCCACTGGGCTATCCCCAGAACAAAGAGCTCCCTCCAGGCATCTTCCAGAAGTATTAGCTAAAATGAGATTTAAAAAAGCATTGTTTTAGCAATTTAGAGCAGCAAAATCGCAGTTTCTTCAAATGCCACTTTTAAAAGGGGCTGTTAGATAATGCATAAATAAACATTTTAACCAGCGTTTTCTGAAACGGGTGACGCACTTCTAAGGTTTTTATCTTTTTTCTGTTTTTCACTGAAAACTGATAGACTTCCCAACTCTTCCCATGGCTCATGTAATGGACAACCACTGGGCTTTCTGAACATCTTATTTACTGGAATTTAGTCTCTTCACCTGTAGAATTCCTGGCTCATCCTCAGTCTTGCCATTATCACTTGCTCCCTCTCTCCCTTTTACTGATCTTTCTGATCACATTGTCTTTGGGCTATGCTCATTCCCCGCTGTGTCTACATGACTTCTAACACCATGTAATTCAACAGCAACATCAATAAAGACATCTAAATTGGAACTAAATTCTTGTTTTTTGAATAAATAAGATATATTATTTAAAACAAACAAAAACATGTTTAAGCTTTATTGTTATTGGGATATGCTCCTGACATAAAATGCACTATATAATTCTAATTTTGCATTATATTTTATTTAGGTTATACCATTATGTTTATGTTTGAATCAATTCATCTGGAATCAATGGTCAAAGGAAGAAACCGTTTTCTCACCCTTAACTCTCCCTTTCCAATTCTCACTGGAAACGTTACCTTTATTTTCTTGGTTGGAGTTGTCATTGGAGCATAAGTACATACGATCGATCGCACATAGCAGATTGAAGAAAGATTATTGTTTTCTTCAAGATACACCGACACCACTAGGCTATTGAATCCCATTCAGTTACACTGCTTAGGGAAGCATTCTCTGATGAGATTCCTGCTGCTTGTCCATCCAGGACCACCCTACCCGTGGAGAGGCACTGCAGTATCTGGGCAGGCAATATCCGAAGGTGCGGGGGAGCCGTCCACACTGCTCCCAGGCACCTCTGAGGACATTGCCAGAAACCTGGGAATGAGAGCTGGTGGGTGGCCCAATGAGACCGAACTATGTCATGCCTTCTAAAAAAAAACTCCCTCAATTTTAGCTTGGATTTAAAACAAAAATAAAATAAAAAAACAAAACATTTCCAGGGAATGAAGTAGCAGTGCATTGTGACAATATACAGATGCAGGTTTCTCGTCCCAAACTCCTAATTTACATTCATTTATAATTTCTTTGACATTTGACTGCCCTTGAAACTCTACAACATTCAAGTCGGTTCCTTTGTAACATTGCAGTTGCTTAAGATTTCAATTAATATGTTTGTGGATTCCTGTAGCTCAGTGGTTAGAGCACTCGCCTCGCAAGCCAGAGACCTGGGTTTAATCCAAACCTTGGGCAAGTTTCCTAACTCCACACGCCTGATAACAAAACCCTCAAGAAAAAAAACAATAATAAATTTGTCATTTCAATGCATGATTGTTTGTGGGACCCGGCTGTGTGCAATTGGCTGCTGCGTATTGCCCACAAATATACAATTCACTTTACAGTATATTCTGTGAAGGGCTTTGAGACATCTGGAAGACGTGAAAAGCGCTATTTCAAATGCAAGGAATATTATTATTAATATGATTAGAAAGATTCGTATTTACTTTGTAATCCCTAACAGGGCTACCCTTCCAGCACTAACAGTTTCTGCCTTGGAGTCACCCTGAATTGTTGTCTCCTTAATGTGTCAATGACTTCTTCCTAAAGTTACTGTATAGCATACGGTCGGTAAGATGTGGCGGCGAGGGGTGGTGGAGAGAGGGGGTTGCAGTGTGTTGCACTCACCTGATCCTGGAATGGGAGTGTGGAGAACGCTGGCACACTCTTGGCCCACTTGATGCTCATGAAGAGAAGCCTGGCTGCAGATTCACAGACCGATTCAGTTGCCACCTCGTACAGATACATTGGCGTGCCATTCACCTCATGTGGATACTGTAAAGAGGTCACAGTGCAAATGACTAGCAAGAGAACAATCTCAAGTGAGTCACTTCCCAGTCTCTAGTGAATACTGCGTTTCCGAATACAGTATAGCGCACAGTTAGAAGATTATTAAACCAAAATAGCCCTCGTGAGATATTTCACTTATTTGATCTATCTATCGATCGATCTCGCCGTTTATTGTTTGTAGATTGTATTTGAAGAGCGAGGCTATAATTACCGTAGTTTATATCCAAACTTCATACACATCAATCAAATATCAACTTCTAAAATCTGAAAGGAGTTTCCTTCGATCACCCTTCGATCAAGCGAGGGTTATTCTAATATTGCCCACCACATGCAGTACACCAAAAAGCCCTGTCTGTGTATTGTATGTGGGTTTGGCTCTGTGATCGTTGTAACCAAGGTTTGGCTTAAGATTCTGAAACCGCAGTAACCGCTGACTTGAACAGCAGGTTGATCTTGAAGAACAGCTTTTTATTAGGTGGGGGTGGGGGTCTGTCTGTGCTAACAACTTGTTGCTAGCAGATGCACTCTTTGACTCTTTGAACTGACACAAGGCACCACTCTACTCACTGAAGCACTTGAGTTCCTGCGTATTTTGTTTTGGGGGGGCGAGGGGCATTTATATATATCAGAGCCAAGAAGAGTTAAAGTGGTTTTGTGTCAGATAAATGACAAAAGACTGAACAATAAGTAGCTAAAGGAAATTAATATATAAGTACTGCAATGGGGTTTTACAAGGAAAGCCTGTTTTGTATACGAGATGGATTTAAAAAAAACAAAAATATGTTTACTAATGGTAAAGTCCTCACGTTCCTGTCAATAAACATGGAATTATTTTTATGCCTGAGAACCGATTTGTGGAATAATTGTTTTCACTGGATTATTGGAATCCAAGATATGTTTGCGGCTTTGCTAACGAGGACAGTTTCAGTTGCTGGGATCGTGTTGCATTGAAGTCAATCAACAGTTTTTTTTTCTGCTGTCGACAGATTATATTGTCTGGAATCAATGGGAGCAGAGATTGCAAGACAACGTGACAAAAATAGCTTTCCTTCCGTATTCTGATGACGGTTTAGTCAACTGATATTGCTTTCACCCGGGGTTAGCTTGGTACACCCAGCAACAGTAGACATTTGCTAGTGTAAACACCAGGATAATCATAACGTCGCAACTACTGTTCCGGATGCTTGAAAGCGCCCGAAAAGGGAATGTTAATGCTGCAAATGGTCTTTTTGATTGTATGCGGGTGTCTTGTGTATGTGTGTCAAATGCTTTGCAATCTAATTGTGGATGGGTAGGATAACTATCATGAAACTTTTAAATTCATATTTCGGGTAAATTGGCTTATGTTGTTGGAAATACACAAGTTGTCTACTTGTAGGAACAGAGGAACTGGAGGCTATTAGCCCATTGAGTCTATTTCACCAGTTTATTAAACCATGACAGATATTTTAATCTAAATTCCCCGCGTTTCCCCCAAACCCTTAATACCCTTATTGCTTAAGCATCCATATATTTTCCCGTTAAACATCTTATGTTGAGACTGGTTTAAGTGTCCGCTGCTACTTGTGTCCAGTGGTGGGCTTTTGGCTGCACTGCAGTGGTTTAGTGACCTGTCACAGTATGGAGAGTGGGTGCGTGCAGTTGTGGAATAATGTTTGAGCTATGTGCAATATGTTGCTCTAATTGTCTCCTAGTTACTGGCAGTAAGTCTGAAATGAAGGCTAATTACATCACCAAAATTGTTCCTCATTTATCTTTCGCAAGGAAAGGTTCTCTCGGTTTCCACACGCATCAAACATGTGTCGTGTGAGAATGAGTGTGTATGTGTGGGATAGAGGCGAGTGCAACTATTCACCCCTCAGTGGAAAGTAACTTTGGTTTGCAGAAAGGAGGAAAGGAATGAGCTTGGCATTTTGATCCAGCGGGTCTGTATTTGCAGATTTAGGAAATAACGTGTTGGATCTAATTCAGTGTTGTGTTCTTTCTGATATCACCCAGCCCTAACCCCTCGTATGCATTGGTCTTCAGGAATGTTCAAAAGGTGTGGAAAATGTTTCTCTCTTTATCGCCCCCTGTCCAGCAGTCCCAAGAGACTCGAGAGTCCATGTATCTCTGACCACGGGTGTGTAATACACAACAAAGATCTATTGCAGGTTACAGTTGTGTCTCCTCCAATGGATTTGTACTGGTTGTTGGGATGCTCACCGGCTGATCTCTCTCCCAGGCCAGTCCAGCACTCGATTACCTTCTCCATTACCTTCACTGAAAGCCCTATTGCTATCAGAACTACTTTACATGGACAGCGCCCGCCTCTGTATTTTTCCACACTGAGATTCCTACCCCAGTCCAATATTGACCTTTTTTGACAAAACCACCTGAAAAGACCAAAAGAGTACATTTCCGTTTTGTTGGTTGATTTCCTTCCCGTCAATGGAAAGACACCTTTCTGTGAAGTCAAGTGCATCGGTTTAACTTACCTTCGGAGTTGGCTGTGGCAATCCCACCAAAGTCTGGCGGTCGGACCCAGGGGTCAGGTCGATGTTGTGTGTTTCCAACTGGGTGACAGCAGTGAAGAAAGCTGGTCCAGGTAATGCAGCCGCTGGGTAAGGGTGGCGGTTCCGTTCACTTCCTTGTGTCCACGGAAATAAAGCGCTACCTGTTTCCTTATGGTCGACGTCCTGGGACCTCTTTCATGTTGCACAGCTAAGAGGGAAACCAAGCAGGGGAAACTCGATTAGTGAAAGAAAGGGATCTCTTACTACCCTGACACTGATGTAACTATATTTTTGTACGGATTTCCTTGCTGTATGCATTCGGTTTCTGATAATTGTGACTCAGAAATCCCGGCAAGGTTAACAACAAGGATTGAGATGTATCCATCAAAGTGCCATTAAAATGCTTCTTGGTGACAGACCTGCAAAGCGACTTTTCACAATCTCAACGATTTCCAGTTTCAAATCAATATTGGAAACATTCTGAAGTATCTGTCTATCCCGTGGATGTTAAAGTCTTTTGGCACTACTCCAAAAATGGAATAGAGTTTCTCCTGACCAACAATTTCTCACATATAATTGATCGCTTACTCCATCGCTGTTTGTGGGACACTACTTTGCGCGAATTCGTTGTTGTGTTCGCCAAAAAATACACAGTCAATCCACTCCACAGTATATCATGTGAAGCAATTCCATGTGGCTCAACGATGTGATAAGGCGCTATATCAAATTAAAGGATTATTATTATTTAGGAATGAACAATCGCCCACAACCCAAGAGGTAATGTATCGAGTTCGTACAATCCCTCCAATGCAACCCTTAATTACAAAAGAACTAAGGAGATATTTCGCCATTTTCAATATCCCCTAAACTTACCAACAGGCTAAAATCATTCTTTCCAACTTTATCTCCCCTCCACCCCCCACTGGTGTTATTTCAACTCCTTAGTACCCGATACAGTAACTACAGTTTATAGTGTAACTTGTGAAGCGCTTTGAGACGTCCTTCCAACCTGAAGGCACTATACGAAATGTAAGCATTAGTATTATTATTATTATCCTCCACAAGTGAGCAATGGAGAAGATGCCCTCTATATATAAGTGATCAAGTGATCGTTCCGTATTTATTAATTACATCAAATTGGAAAAGCGAGTGCTCTAACCACTGAGCTACAGGACTCCACGATATATAAGTGATCAAGTGATCGTTCCGTATTTATTAATTACATCAAATTGGAAGGTTAGTTGGAACGACGGAATGAAAATGATCTCTCTGTCTATCTAACCCATAGGGTCAAAAAGAGCCACGAAATAAAATATAAAGTGTGTGTATACACGGAGATTTAATATTTCAATATTTGGTTAAATACTCGGCTGCTTGTTTTCTGTGGATGTTCAGATTCATCACTGTTCCGCTGTAACAGTTGACATGAATACGGTTGGGGCAAAACAAGACTCCAGCCCATCTCTGGTGTAAAATTACAATTTCTCCTCTTAATTCTCTACCAACGTATCCAGAAAACATGAAAGCTTGGTTAATGTAATTGGCGAGGATAATTATTTCTATCTTTCCACATACAATATTTACCAAACTCCAACTGAATGAAGACTTTGGTCTTAAAATAAGAAGCAGATTTCCAAAAGTCTGACCTGGTGAGATGATTGATTCTCCCTCAGCATTATGTGTCTAATTTCAGCACTAGGTTGTAGCTTTCTTGCTGTATATGCCGAATACTTAGTTGTCCTATTCACACAATTAAAATACCAATTAAATGACACTGATCCGTATTTGAAGTTGATTTGTTTGCAAGCGTCTCCATATGGTCTTCCAATTAAATCTTAGCAAACTGTTCATGTGTTGTTAATTAAACTAATAAACAGGAAGAGTCTGTCACAAGATAGTTAAAGAATACAGCCCGGATGAGGGAGTTACTATCTTCGGCACAGAGATTGCAAAGCGCTGTTAGCCTTTCTTGTGGCTGAATGGTGGACTCACGACCTGACTGTTGAAAACTGAAGCTACGAGAGAGCATTGGGACTGGACTGTACATTGCTGCCCATTAAGTGAATGCATCAAAACAAACCCAGTTCAATAGCAGACATCACATTGCGATATCTAGTAACGAAGCGATATAAAATGTTCCCCAATTGTGTCATTGAGACATAATCTAATTGTACCATGTTCTAGAAATCATTAAGTTGTCTTTTTTTAAAAAATGTGGACAGTGCAATTGATGGCTACTTTCGACACAAAATATTTTAGAAGAGGGGAAGTGTGAGATAATGCAACGTTAAACTTTTTCTTTTCTTTAAAAGTCACGAGAGCTGTGTAAAATATGCTCCCAATAACTCAATGGGCATTACCTGACGATTTCAGTCATGGTCAGTGAACAAACAGGTCAAAAATGGGGGAAAGGAACAAGGTGTGACAGCAATCGCACTCAATTCGTAAGTGTCTCCTTATGGAAAGGATCCGTGTGCTTTGATTCCTTTGTTGTTTCCCTACACTTTCAAGGAATGGGAATCATTCCAAATTTATTAGAGCGTGTGGTTCATGTTTTTCACTTTGCAAGAGAAAGTGGAAAGTCACTTATTTCAGATTGCGTCAACTATATGGGAATTGCAATTGTTTTAAAATAAGTAAACAATTCTAGAATTAACGTTACTTTATTTCGAGAGTTGGGTAAAAATGCTAGAAAGTGAGGAGTATCGAACACTCATCACATGTATATAGAATTAAGATTAATATGCCTGCGATGGCATAATAGAGTTGGCATGAGGACAGATAATAGAAATTAATTCAATCAAACCACTTTACAATGACTCTCCTGTGGAGCTCTTTGAGACGTCTCGACGACGTTAGAAGGCGCTATATCAAATTGCAAGAATTATTATTTATTATTATAATTTGATTATATATATACTCTAAGTATATATGATACGACGGGTATGAAACGAAATTTGAGGTTAAAAAAACGTACGTGTGTTAATCAAGGTATTACTTGGTATTACTGGTTCAGATTATGGACAGAATAAAAAGCAGTACAGTTTCTGGATCTCGATGCAGGGCAGTAACTTGTTGAAGGTCATCAGCTCCGTTTTTATTTCACAGTATATCAAAACGCGAACATTTTCGGGTGGTGATGATGGTGTATGTGGGAAACAGGAAGAGTTTCATATCAAACGTCTTACCGTCTTTGTTCATGTTAACTTCCAGGCACTTTTTTAGTCGACAGGCTCTGCACTGGTTTCTGTGAGTCTTGTCTACAGGACAACCACCCTTAAAAAGAAAATACAAAACGAAATAATTTTAAAATAGAGAAAGGAGCAATACAAATGCTTTTTTGTATGTTTGATGAAGGAATTTCGCTTGAACAAATGTCTCTCTAATTAAAATAGCATTGGAGTTACTTTATACCAAAGGGAATGAGTATTTTGTATCAAAGGAGTGATCATTGTGCTGAAGTACTTGTAAGTGGGACTGACCTGCGAGCAAACAGATTTGTTTAATTCTGCAGCAAGTTGCTAATCGGTTTTAAACCTACAACAAAAATGGCAGGACGGAAAATTTACAGTTAAGTTTCCAAATGTAATAAAGGTTTGGGTGTTAGGACTGATCACTAATATTCGATTAAAGTTTGGGAAATGGGTAAAGTTCAGCTCCTGCGGAGGTCGGGTTCATTCCTGCCCACACTATCCAATCCCCAAAGGATTACCGTAACAATCGTCCACAGAGTAAAAAATAAAGAGACAATTAATGCACAACTCTCACCCCGCCAAGTAATCAACATAAAGTGGAGTCACTTTGCTGAACACTTTGCGGAAATGTTGATTCCTTTTTTTAAATGCAAAAAAAAAATCAGACTTTTTCGTGATGCTAAATCGAATTTTTTTTTTAAAAAAACGCGCAAATCAATTCCGGAATATTCAGTCGAGTGAGCAATGTTTAACTGGGAAAGGGTAAGACATCTGACGGCTTGGGTTTTTGTGTATAAAAAACCATCCCACAAACAAAACTGTGCTTTGATTCTTTAACGCTGAAGCATTTCTTTTCGAGGGAAGGCAGACAGTGTGTGCGTCTGTGTGTGCATCACATGTGTTTGATGGGTGAATATGAACTAGAAACTAAACGTTGCTTTTAATTTAGATACAGGATGTTTCAGGTATACGTTATACTGCGGGAGAGCTTTATTACTGCCCACAGGCGAGGTGCAGGTGTCGGGGCTGGGTGGGCTCCCGGCTCTGGTTGGTACCTGGTTGCCTGATTTGCAGACATAAGTTCTGTTCCGACGAATACTGCGTTTGAAAAATCCCGAGCAGCCGTCACAGGCGTAAACCCCATAGTGTTTACCGGAGCTGCGATCACCGCACACCTTGCATGGGATATCCAAAATGCGACCTTGAAAAAAACAAGTCAGATTTTGCTCAGTTACGCTTATTGAAAAGTTTCGGGTTCTTCTTCTGCTGATGCCCCGTGAATATCCCCGAGTAAAGGCAGCAATGCAACTGAGCAGAGCTGAGGTCAGGCGCACTGCGAATCAAAATTGAATCAAAATTAACCTCACAAAGCCAGAGGGAGTCAGAGACAAGCGGCGGGGGGGTCAAATCGCAGGCAGTTTGCTGGTTAATAATAACAATGTAATATTCTAATGTATTTGATTTTAACCCTGATCATAAACCCAGACTCCTTTAATTTAAAAAGTTCGCCTTGAACACAGAGTCGGAGACAGAACGTGGATTAAAAATGAAAGGATCCAACGTATTATAGTAATCGTTTCCAAGATATTATAGTTTAACAACAGGGCAACAGGCTGGGGGGGTGGGGGGGTGTAAAACAACGAGAGAAAGAGTTGCTTTTGGACAGACAGGCGGCATATTGCAGTAATATAGTAAATAATCCCTCCAAATTCATTCCCAAACAGAGATCCACTATACCGGTTGGGGATGGAGCTCTCCCAGCCGCACTGCACCTGGAGTTAAAGTATGTCTCAGCGATTGGCGTACAGTAGAAATTCAGTTTTCAACATGTGTTGAAAGTCAATGTTTTCTGACATAACATCTTTGAGTGACCAGACAACAACAACAAATTACTTTGTACAGCGCCTTTCACGTCGAGAGGACGTCCCAGGGAGCTGGACAGGCGGGGATTGGGACTCGTGTGCACTCACTCGGGACTTGTGCGGTTGAACGTTACAAAATAAAACATGTCGTTAAATATTGCAAATGGCATCAACGTGCTGGAATCGTTTTGAAACGGAACAAAACACTGACCTCGACTTCAGCACATACACGTTAAAAGAAAACTAAATTCACTAAAGTTTCCTTTATTGTTTAAGTAAAACGATTCCAAATGGGGCATTGGAAGCAAAGGTGGAAATCCGCGCATTACAGAAGCAAGTGCTCCGTTTCCTCTCCACTTATTTGAAGGGATTTGCCCGCAGTTTGCAACCAAAACATTTCAATGTAAACCACCGTGTGTCAGAATATTGTCCCAGATGAGACTTTGTTGGCTGCAAAATACAGGAGGAAAATGAAAAAAGACAAATAAAAGGTAGCCACGGACGGACATGTTGCAACCTGAAAGGTTATAACTTTGTGAGTCAGAAATACTCTTTCCCAGCAAAGGAAGCAACACAAATACGATCGGAAGAAATAGCGGAGAGGATATTACATTTTGAAATGAAGGCTGAATTTGGCGCCCAAAATGTCAAAGAGTGATGTTTGCCCCTTTATCAAAAACCGTGACCCAATACTAAAAACCATCGGGAGTGATCCCAGTGCTTTTTTTAAAGAGAAAAACAAGTGGCCTATAGCGTAGGCAGTCACTACAGCAGATAATATCTTCGATATAGTGTAAAGTGTTTCGCTGGTTTACCCCTTGTCGCTCAGTTGGGGTTTCTTGGCTCGCACAGTGTTGCTTGTGGCAGATTGTATTCCCAGACCATGGGAATGCAGAGGTGGCGAGGCTGGTTCTGCACAGATTGCGGGAGTGGCAACAAAGTCTGGGGATGGCCAAACTACAAGGTGGGACATGGGGGGGAAAGTGTTGAGTTAATGATTTCCCATTGAACTCGTTGACTGGTCCCAATGAGGACAAGCCGTCACGACTTTCTTTAAATGAATCCCGACAGCTGCTTTTTACACACGAGCTGGAGAAACTGGGACTGCAGTGTGAGGATTAAAATGTGCTCCAAACATGGGAATGCAAAGCGATCCCAGTCAGCCAGAACAGGGAAGAGAGAGAATATCAAATCGTATTTAAAGAGTATTTTGTTGGCTATCGGGATAAACGTCAATGTCTGGTAGAAATACAATAATTTGATGAATGTGTAATTATGGGAACATATTCCCACCTGCCCATTGATTTACCAGTGACCCGTCAAAAACGGTAGCATGGGAATTCGGATATGCCAGAATGCATCCAGGGAAAAGCAACCGATTCCAGGGAAAACCCCGATCCCCTGGTTGTGATTTCACTCCACAGCTCACACAGTGCCCACACTCGTCAGCTCACACCCATCAGCACTGACCAGCGCTCACGATGCACACGCTGACCAGCTCACACTCTGTCCTGTTGATCAGCTCACACTCTGTCCTGTTGATCAGCTCACACTCTGTCCTGTTGATCAGCTCACACACTGTCCTGTTGATCAGCTCACACACTGTCCTGTTGATCAGCTCACACTCTGTCCTGTTGATCAGCTCACACTCTGTCCTGTTGATCAGCTCACACACTGTCCTGTTGATCAGCTCACACTCTGTCCTGTTGATCAGCTCACACATTGTCGACGCTGACCAGCACCGCATCACTCGTCAGAACCGACCTGCACCCACACTGACCAACTCACACGTTGCCCACACTGACCATCTCACACATTGCCCACACTGACCATCTCACACGTTGCCCACACTGACCATCTCACACATTGCCCACACTGGCCACCTCACACGTTGCCCACACTGACCATCTCACACGTTGCCCACACTGACCATCTCACACATTGCCCACACTGGCCATCTCACACATTGCCCACACTGACCCACACCAATCAGCTTCCACGTTGCTACCCACACTGACCAGCTCCTAAATTGTCCACACTGACTAGATACCACATTGCTCACACTGACCAGATCTCACATTGCCACACTGACCAGCTCACACATTGTCTACACTGACCAGCTCCTGCTTTGTCAACTGACTCCCACAGTGATGTTTAATGTTTAGAATGACATGCTAAAGTTACATTGATTGCTTACTTTCATTGTCAAACTGCAGTTCAGCTGTTTACTCTCCCCTTAGACATTTTCAACTTTCCTCATCTTCTGTACAAAGGGTTACAACTTTGATCGGACAAACTTTTTATTTATTTTGAAATCAGATTGCAATAAAAGCTGCCGGATCCCCGAATGTGTTTGGGAAGGATTGAAAGGAAGAGAAATCATACACTGGATTTATTGTAAAAACTCGAGATAGTCAGTGGATATGAAGTTACCACTGTGTGTCGTGTTTAAACTGAAGCTGTTGTGTGATGTGAGCCTACATGTGGACAAGCTTGAACTTTTCTCAGTACTGAGAGGCTGATATTGTAAGCCTTCAGTCCACAAACAACAATAAAAATTTGCTTCAAACTCACAACTGATTACAAAACAAATATAGCCTTTCAATTTGATTGCAACGTAAAAGCCATATAAGCGTCAAGACCACATAGACATTTGTGCATTTCTCAGGTGTGATATCACAGCATAACAGTGTGAAATATAGTCTAAGCCAATACCGCTCGCAAAGAGCAACTTCCAAATATTAAAAAAAGAGAAAGGGGCAAGCAGCATTTAACAAACAGGTCCAGTCACCAGGCGATCGACTGCTTTAGTCTTAACTTGTGCAAAAATGAAAAAAACGATTTTATTCACTAGGAAACATGCCTTTAACTTCTGTCAGCGGGGGGTCATTTGGCACTTATTGTGTGTAACAATTACTTAAAAGTATATGGCATATTCTATTACTGTAATTACCATCAACGTTATAAGCCGTTGAAAGAAGTTATCCTTGATTCGAGAAAAATGATTGCTGGGGGGGGGGGGAAGACTGGGTTTGTATTGCCACCCATACAGCCCACTTGTTTGTGCTCGTATAAACCAACAACGCAGAGTAGGGGAGAGCAGGTTCACCATATCGCTATCAGCCCATCGGCAACTGTGAGGCTCTTGGGGTGAAACATATAGATAAGAAACCATTGATGTGGATTAAAACAATGGGGAAGGCTCTGAGCATCACCTCACAGCAAATGGCTATTGACAGTCCTCACCACTGAATGGGATGGATGGAGCAAGGCAACATCTATGTCTGGGGTTTGCCACTTTGTGGGGATCGGGTCCCTTTCCAGTGGCTGGACTGCAAATTATTTATAGGGCCACATCATTTTCATTTGGTAAAATTAAGTACAAAGCTTCCAATTCAAAACTTTTCTGCAACCGGGAATATTTTTCGGGTATTCAAACATTGCTGGTGTATTCGAAGGAGCAAAACGTTTCCAGAAAATCTGATATATTCGGCGCTTGGGGAATACCTAACACTATATTTTCGTGAACTATTGTAGCATACCTTTCATCTTGTGTTCTTCCCAACCGTTGTGATTCTCTGTGATCACGAATGCCACCCTTTCCTTGTCTAATTTTTTTCATTTAAAATGTCCTTTTTATAACACCGCTTTCTATTGCTCCTTTAAAAATTTTTAAAAAAATGCCAATATGCTATTTGTATTTGTCAATATCTCCTTTTCTCTCTCAACGATTTCTGTTTTCATGTAATATAATTAATCTAACTGGGTGCAGTTGCATAGTTTTTTCATTATTAAGAAATTCCCGTTCCTTTAAAATGATGGTTAGTTTCAGATGTCGCTGTGTATGTGCATAGGCCAAAGTACGTGGATTTTAGTTTGGGGAAAACTTTAGGCTTCATTTTAATCCGTCAAAATCGCCTCGAATTGTTATAGCGCTTCTTACGTGGCATTTTGATTGATCCCACCCAAGTGGTGCTAACTTTAATAAAGATTTCCTTTGCGTGGCCAATTGCCAACGGTTTGTTATGACCTCGGGTTTTAGACTATAGGAAAGTGGTTACTTTCATTCAACCTTCCAGACATTCAGTGTCCAGTCGCACGGTGTAAGATAATGATTGCACTGCAATGTAATTTAAATTCAAGTTTACGACTTCAAGATTAAGGACAAATAGTTATGACGTGCAACGTTTGGATATAAAAATCATTAAGTGGTTCATTGTCAGAGTGAAATTGCATGGAATAATGTTAGTATATTTCAATAGAGTTAAATTATTGTAGTCCAATGAGAAATCTATCTAACCAGTGTTTCATTCCCATAACTCACGAAGAGCGAAGTGACGTACAAATAAAGTTCATAATACTCTGCCATTTCAATACTGAACTTAGATATATTCTGTTGCAAAGGTACGCGGCTCCAAAACAAAATATGGACAGTCTATTTACGCTGAATATGTATTTGGAAGAATCTGGAAGTATGAATGAACTTTTTAAACGGTGTAGATACTGCAATAGGATAAAGGTACACATACCCTACCCACTGTCCCTAAATGTAAAACCATCTATGTGTTCAAAATATCTTAACCATTGTTAGAACTGTTAACCATTTTAGCAAACAATTGGAAGTATCTCAATTAGCTTATATTTTTATGAAGCAACTAACTTCAAAATGTTAAATAGTGCTCTTTCGCTTTCTGATTCCTTTCTAAAAAAAAAGTTGTGAGACTTAAAGATAACAGTTCCCCAACATTATCCACCTCCTGGTCAGACTGATTCTGAATAAGAATATATTCAAACAATACACTGACGGGTAAAATAGTTTGTTTTAAATTAGAGGACTGTCTCAAAATCAAACTGTAAACCCCACGTTAGAGGCTAAATCTTCGACAGCGAGGCCACAAAAACCCCAACCGATTGCCAAACACTGTCCACGTTCTGCATAATATATCTGATTTTCAGTGGGTTAAGTTAGAACGAATGGTGGACTATCTTAACTTAAGTGTTCAACAGTGAGTCAGTTAACAAGGAAAATCTCGTCTCACTTCAACCACAGAATGCGCCCCAACATCATTCAGTCAAATTAAATGAGCTCGTCACTGTGGGTAGAAAACCTTTTGGAAGAAAACATAAACCTACATTTGTTTCCCCCGCAATTTCAGGGCACATTACAGAAATGCTTCTTCAGCCACCTGAGTCTGAAATCATTAACACGAATCCCTATTTATACACATCACCCACTTGTTGATCCGGCGGGCTTGCTCATTCTTGCAGTTCTTGGGTGTAGGGATGGCTGGGATATCGGGGAATGTTTTGCTGTTGAGTATATACGCGCTTTATGTTTGGAGCTGTGGTTGATCCAACAATCCCACAACACAGATTTCTGCGACTCCCTTCCCGTCTCCCGGCGATCACGAGCAGCTCCGAGCGCACCGGGCGAAGTGGTTTAACTTCTTGATCGATCCTCTCAGCCGCTTTTCCACCACAGCCCACTCTGCCTGCAGCCGGCGACGTCCATGAGTGCCCAGATCGCTGCTTCGAGTAGGAAAGGTTGATCCGTCGGTTTACGATCCCTCTCTGTCTCACACGAAGCCCTTTTTTTTGGGGGGGGTGGGGTGGGGGGGGGGGGGGGGGTGGGTGGGGGGTGGGGGGCAGACAGGCGGACCAGCGCAGCGCCGATCCGCAGAGCTGTCAGCGAAACGCAAGTGTCTTGACTTGGATTCGGCCAGGACAGAAAGAGAGGGCTCCCGGCAACGCCACTCAAATCATTTATCAACAACCACCTATATGTTTTTTTTAAAAAGTACTCTGTGGGGCGGTGGGGGGGTGGTGGTGGGGGTGGGGGAGGTGCACCGTGGCAGGGCTCTCCTGGATCTGGGGGGTAAAAAAAAATCAGGATGTGCATCCAAACACACGTTGAGGGATCAGCAGGGTAATAACTTTCCTACCCAATCTGGGCCATGCATTTCGCTGCTTTCTTCACTCCCATTGGATTACTACGTCAGCATGCTCAGGTTTTAAGATGCCAATGGGACTAAAGTTACAATCGCTTCCCAGGAAGACTGGGGGGGGGGGGGGGGGGTGTGGGTGTGGGGGCTGTCATCTGATCCGCACTGGGGAGAGAGAAAAAAAATCACAGCAGCTAAATGTTTGTACAGTATTTCAAATCGGAGACTCACCAGGGCATGTACTTAAGTAAGGCACAGGTCAGAGGCACCCGCTTATTTTTAAAATTATTGTTTCCTGGATGATTGTCTGTGCAGCGAACCTTACCATATCATTTAATTTCAATAAAATGCTATAAACATTGCGGTTGTGGGTTGTCCAGCACATCCAGGTGAGTCCATTTTTATTTAGAAATATATTAGTCAGTGCATCGGGCAGTACGTGTGCATTAAACATAAAGTGTATGTTTTTTTTTGGTCCAGGCGGTTTGGAGCTGCAGGGTGGAAGTAAAGTCAAGCTATTAACAGTAAAAGCAGTGAGTGTACACATAACCTGATAGTAGTCATAGAATCTGCATAGAAAACACGCCGCGTGTTTCTTTTTAACAAACTATGGAGAGTTACATTTATTTTTGCACCAAAAAGAAAACGTTGCCTTTTGCTTAACCCGGTACAAGTGGTCTGGAATGAGCTGGAAAAAAACGACAGAAATATACTGATGTCTCTCGTGGGGAGGTCACAGCTCCCAACACTGGAATTGCGAGTGAATCAGAGCCCCTCTCAGCGGTTATAACCTGTAAAGCCAGAGGTTGTTAACCTCTTTGAGGGGTATTATAAGGTTCGATACACCTCCGGAGCTATCACTCGATCGGCGACTCGCGATTAAAGGCTCATGGCATTGTTCCTGCCCATTCCTGGGAATGTTTTGGCCCCGGGCGCCGCAAATCTTGCTGAGTTTCAGCACATTTAATCTGCTACAGTTCCCGACGACATAATGAGCGCGGATCGGGGGCTCTTGGCTGGAGTGGAGTCTGCTGTAAAGGGTTTTCGTGATGGTGGATGTTGGGCTTAGATTTGGCGCAAATCCCCTTGTCTAACACTGCCGAGGAGCATTCAATCGTTTGATTGTGATCTCCTCTAGGTGATCCAGGGTATCTGTTCCTCGATTAGTGCCAGGAGTCTCATTCAAGGAATGCAACCCCCCCCCCCCCCCCCCCACCACCACCACCTCCCCCCCCCCCCCACCACCCCCTTCATTCAACATCACCGGCCACGTGACCTTATCCAGTCTCTCGGTATCAAAAAGTAGTTTAATGCTATTTTGGAAACATGAGTATGGTTCAGTGAGGTTATAGTGTCATCAGTATTTCTCTGCAATTCAGGTCACTGTATGATGCTATCATTCCAATTGTTTCCATGCTTTAAAGTGACAAAGCTATTTGCTGTTGTGTCATACTGGCTCAAACACATACTTACAGACATACATACATACTGTATACACACAGACATACAGACATACATATGAACATTGAACATAAATATTTATGTACATATACGCAATTGCATGTACGTTGGTACAGACACGTCCAAAACATAACAAGTGCTTCTGCTTTCATTGCAGAAACAACCGTAAGAACTATTAAAAATGACGTGTGTGAAATAATTTAGGACTCACTTTGATTTCCCATAAAACTTCCTCTACTTCCTTCCAATTCGCTTGCTTTACGAATATTGGACATTAACATGTTCTGTCTTGTATTGAAAAGCAGGCTGGTGTCGACACAGAGCCAGAGAATAGTAGTCTTTGTGGGGTAAATGCATTTCATTAAAAGTAAAATGAAGATTTTTTTTAAAAAAAGCTTATCCCGAAACTTTCAAATCTTTCAGTTAGTTTGTTGAATAAATCACACCGAAATTGTTGTATGTTAATTTTTTTTAACCTAAGTAGATGGTGATTTTATTTAACTTATATACTTTGATAACTTGTAATAGCTTCTCCATACTTTTAAAACACAGAAACAAAGTTCCGATGTGATCGTGTCAATATAATTAAAGTCTATGGAGCAAATGCTGATATCATGTATGGTGAAATGCAAACCTCTACATGCCCTTATCATGGGATACTGAATATAGGGTCGCATGTCACAACACTTAATCTCTTCAAAACATAATAGCAACAACAACGACCACAAATTGCATTTATATGCAACTTTTCGTTTTAATTTGATTTAAAGCAGATTACTAACAAACTGAGAGAAAGATGATTTTGTATAAAGGTTTCTAGAATCGAGGCGGAAGATTATTGGTGTATCGGTGTTCTCCCTCCATCTATCCTCCCAGCACGTGGACCAGAAAAGAGGCTTGTCCCTCCTTGACATAACCGGCTATTACCTGTAATGCAAATTAATCAAATCTGACATCAAATGAAATGAAAAGATACAAGTGTATCCCAGGGCACATTGTATTAATATCATCGTCACATCCAGGCTTGAGTCTGTGGCATCGCTAGTACCTTGTCATTGAGTCAGAGAGCAGCCTCCAGCTCCCAGAGGTAAATAGCCTCTCCTTCCATGTATGCAATCACTTACTGGCAGCAAGAGACAATGATGTGTGTAGTTTTTGCAGTATCGCGTTTATAATGTGAAACTTAGAGCAAGAACTCGTGTAAATAAAAGTGCATAGATCCTTCAAAATACAACCTGAGTAATGCGGATTATTAGGCCGAAATATTTATTTTAAATTTTAGTCTGCTGCGAGCATCCTGTGATGCAGTCCGACAGGAATTAAAAACGTAACTTTATTTGTAAAGAAACATTCCCACCTCCATCAATCCTAATGATGCGAATTCAAATTAAATTTTGATTAAATTGATTTGTAACCAATTACGTCGATAACTCCAAAAAGCACGTTAAAGTACTTCTGCAGTGAAGCTGCTCTGCCAACTTCTCTCTGACATCCTTTCACCATTTACATCCCTTTTGTATAGGGAATAATATCGCTGCAGTGAGATCCATCTCATGGTTTTGTTCCGATGTGTATTAGGTGATTGACCCACACTTACCTACACATGTGCTATAAGACCTCAGCACAACCACATTGATTGGGTGCTTTAATGAGGCATTATCATTTATGCGATAAGGTTTAAGAGACAGACCATTGTTTGTGGCTCTGCACATGAAGGAAACTTACCAAACCTGGAGCATTCATGCCCTGGTTATCTTAGGACAATTAGTTTTGCTCAAATAGTTAATTAAATGCGGTTAAAGCACAGTTTAGGGCTGCATCAATCGTTAAAAGCTCTCTTCGCCAGGGTTTCCCCCAAATACCGTGCAACATTTGAGAAAACAAGGCGACAAGAAGGTTACAGGTGAGGGTTTGATGGACAGTGATTTGCGGATGTCCCAGCGAGAGGGACGCCTCTCCTTTAATAATGAACGATCTGCAGCACTGTCATCTCAAAGGCACCCCTATATTTTTTACACACACACACACACACATATATATATATATAAAAAACACGATAGCAAGTTTACTCGCGTCGTGTTGGACAACACTGTACCCAACCTGCCGCAGGTCGACGATCATGACAGATTTATCTATTTGGGGCAAATTGTCAGTGAGAAACTTCCGCTCGAACTATTTCGGACAAAACTTTGCTGTTGAAATGGATAAATCCCGCCACATGAAGGGTCTGAACAATGGCCAAATGCAGTGTGGTGGCTGTGGCCGAGCTGGCTCAGAGCTCACAAAGAGCGGATTAATTGGTGCCTTGGCTGACTGATTCGAGATGGCTCCAGTCATTCAGCACCGCGGGGAGTCTCATTGTCCCCCGCCTGATTCTCAGTTTTCACAAACTCGAAACAAAAGTCAATTTCTTTTCAAAATCATCCCCGTGTTTTTGCTCTATGAGGTGACTTGTCGGAGTGGCGGACAGGCTCGAAGCTTGACTCTCTCTCTCTCTCTCTCTCTCTCCCCCTCTCTCTGTCTCTCCCCCCCCCCAATCACATCTAGGTACGTCTCTAATGAGTGTGAGAAAATCGCATTTTTTCTCGCAGGCACTAGTGACTGGAGGAATGCACTGGCACTCGAAAAGTGCAAAAAAGGGGCTTTCATGGAGATGTTGGTCCGCAGAGTCGCATGGAAAGCAGAGTCACTGCACACACAAATGGAGATGCTTCGAGAACTGCACTCTATGTGACTCTGACTGTATCCCAGGATTTAACCTGCACCTTTTTTCACCCTTCCACCCCCCCCCCCCCCCCCAAGTCTTCAATCATTCAATTGCTTCTACGATTTGATCACACTTAAGCAGCCCGCAAATACATATGGCTGCAAATTTAAAGATTATCATGTCTGATGACTTTACTTGGGGGGGAGG